ACACACACACCACCCCTCCGAAGGATGGTATATAGCAACGAGCATCGACAGCTGCTGAAGTTGAACTCGAACTTTTTCTATATCAAAAAGAAATCGAATGCGAGCGGGCTACCTCGTGGCCCGCGGGGTTGGGTACGTCTGAAGGAAGAACGCACTCTTCACACGTTCCTTCCATCTTCTTTTATTTCCTCCTCCCCCCGACGGCCGCGCCGCAGGCGCATTATCATCCACATCCGTTCATTCCAACTCCTCTCTCTCTCGCTCTCTCCTATCCTGCCGTAACGGAGCTCACGTAGATCCTGCGTGTATCGCCGCAGTTGAAGTGCACGAGGTAAGCAAAGGGAAAGCGAGTGGGCTGAGCACGGAACTGCCACTTACTGCTTTCTCCTTTCTTCTTTGCTTCTTCGGCTCCGCTCTCTTCCTCCTCTTCGTTTTCAGTTTGTTTTTGTTCTGCCTTTCATCGCACGTCGATTTCGCCGGATCAAGCGCGACCGCCAACACCACCACATACACAAACCGACAGGACAAAGAGAAGAAGAAGAAATCCAAGATGCCGCCGCGCAATGCAAAGCGCGCACCACCGCCGAAGAACCGCGGAAAGAACTCGAGCAGCCACCCGCGTAGTGACAGCCGCGTTCCCAAGAACGCGAGCCGCACGAGCAGCAACATCAGAATTAGCAGCGCGGCGCCTATCAGCTCCCCGCCTGCCCGTCTGTCAAAGCTGTGGTCCACCGGTCGGCCTCCACCGGTGCGGGCATCGGCGTACAGCGGCAGGTACGACAACAACACCACTGGTGGTCCCGTTACGACAGTAGCAGCAGCAGGAGGAGGAGGACAAGGTGACGGGGCCGCCTTGAACGCGTCGCAGGGCTTTGCGTACCTCTCACCAGAGGTGCTCGCGGCAGCCCGCCTCGCCTCCACCACGACCTCAATAACAACCTCACCACCGCCACCACCACCATCGCCGCCGTTGCGTTCTCCCGCGATGCGAGCCGCCTCATCTGCCGAGTCCTCGCTGGCGCGACTGCGTGCGCTGGCCAGTGGGGTCGCCTCTCTAGCTCTTTCCCCCGCTTCGCTTCCTTCACCAAACTTGTTTAAGAATGAGGAGGCATTGCCGCGGTCGTTGCCGCCGCTATCGCAGCCCCCCGCGCAGGGCTTCGCGGAGTCGCCCTCCTCGGCCGCCCCTGCGACACCCTACACCCCCGACCTCGTGCGCCGCCTCGCCGAGCTCAACGGCACGCCCTACGCACAGGCGCTTTCTGTATTGCACGTTGATCGTTTGAAGCGCTCTCGTGGTGCTGGGGATACTGCGGCAACGGCTACTGCTGCCCAACCGGCGCCCTTGTCGCCCGATCAGCTGTCCTCGCTAGGCCACAACGAAGAAGACGAGGAGGCGCTGGCTCGCTCCTCTACGCCGCACGCTTCTTTCCGTAGCGCCGCCGCCGCAGGAGACTGGGTCAGGGCCCTCGGCGACGGGGGCAACCTCGAGAATGAAGAGGAAGCCGAGGGCGGCGCACACCGCAGCTCCCCCCAGCGTCAACTGCAACCGCCACCGCGGCCTCTCACAGCCGCCGCCCGACTCGATCGCCTCCGGGCCACGTCCGCGTCGGACCCGCTGTCCACCCCTCCTCTTCCTCTTCTTCCTTCGGTGGTCTCTCAGGTGGCCTCGACGGCGTCTCTTCCGCCCGCTTCCTGTGGCGCCTTCGACGTGACAAGTCGGCTGGCGGAGCTGCGCCAGCGGGCGACTGCTTCGTCAGCCAGTCCGGCGTTTGGGTTCGCCGGTGGCACCTCTTCTCCGCCGCCTCCGTCCGCTCCTCCTACCACCACCTCGGTGGCGTCCACGGCGGCCATCGCGGGTGCTCCGCCGACCTGTTTTATGAACCTAGAGCGTATGCGGGTGGGTCACGGGTCCCTATCATCGTCATCCTCCAGCAACACCCACATCACCCACGACACGCACAACGACCCCTACGGCGTCAATCGCCAGATCAACCACACGACTGCTACCGCTGATTCCTCTCAGAAGTGTCATGCGTCGTCCGCCAGCGGTGCCCGCGGCAGCGTCGACCAGGTGCCTCCGTACAATCTTCTGGTGGCAGGAGTGAGGCGACACGAGGAGACAGACGGACGTGCAGGCGCGACGCCGCCAACGTCGCCGGTGCCACCGAACTCCATCGACGCGGAGCTACAGGAGGCAAGTGAACTGCGCAGTTTAAATGCGCACCTGCAGCGGTACTGCGATGCGGCGGCGGCGGCGCAGTCCCTGCATCCCCTCCCCGCGCACACAGACGCGACGGCAGCGGCAGCGTCTTTCCCCTCCTCCTCCGTCGTGTCCAAGGCGAAGCGTGCGGTGCGGCGCTCGCAGCGACGGCAGTCCGCCGCGGCCGCCAAGAAGGAGACGGCGGTGGCGACCCTCGTGAAAGGCTGCAAGTCGGGCCAGCGGCTCAACAGCGGCGAGGTGGGTGGTGTCGTTGGGAGCCGCACCTCACCGCTGCCGCTGCTGTCGTCATCGCAGGTGGTGGCGCGGCTGCGTCGGTTGGCCGCACCGGTGCCGATCGGAGAGGCGGTGACCGCAGAGACGCCCCCACCACCACCGCCGCCGCCGCTGCCCGCATCGTGGTCGTCATCGTCGCCCTTCGCGGCCCTCGCATCTCCTAGCTTGTACGGGATGCTGAGCGACGCCGCACGGCACCAAGGACACGACAGCACAGGTGAAGACGGAGGCCTCCACATGAAGAAGGGTAATGGTGAGGATGGAGCGGCGACAGCCCGTTCGAATGCAGAGGTGCAGCCGCCTCCGCTAACTTCCGCAGCTCTTCCTGTCTACAATTACCCGTCCACCACACGGCCCCCTTCAACGCCCGACCTGCGGCGACTACCGGCCTTCTCCAGCTGTCGTGCGCCGCGTGACCTCCCGCTGCCGGCCACCTCGCAGTGCATCGTCTTTGACACGTCCTCCCTCTTGGACTCCGAGCCGGGGGTGTTGAACCTGCTGCTGGAGCGCGCGTACATCGGCATTCCCTTTAAGGTGCTGGACGAGTTGGATTACATGCACAAGGGTGGCGTGGGCGGACCCGAGATCAGCAGCGGCGTCGCTGCGCTGCGGCCGGGACTGAGAGGCGGCGGCGAGGTGGGCTCGAGCAACGGCAACAGCAGCGGCGGCGGAACCCACGATCGCGAGTGGCGACGCAAGCGGGCGCACGACTTGCGCAATTGGATTGCGGCGTGCGTCAGTGGCTCGCACGGTCGCCTGCTGCTGCAGAAGCGCACGGACGTGATTGAGGCGTACGATCGGCGGACCGCCAACAACGATGATCAAATCCTCGGTTACGCCGTGTACTTGCGCCGACACCGCGAGAAGGTGATCTTTGTGACTGAGGATAAGTTCCTGCGCATCAAGGCCGCTGCGGAGATCGGGAAGGCCTACTCGTACCATGAGATTCGTCAGATGGTCGGCATGCCGGCGATGCTGCCGAGCAGCAGCACCAGCAGCAGCGGCGGCAACAGCACCACTGTTCGCAGAATCGCACTGAGGAGAAATCATCGAAAGAAGTAAATGCAGCAGCGGCGGTGAGACCACCTTTTTTTTTCTTCTTCTTCTCGGTGTTGTCAACGTGGTACGGTGCGTTCATCTGCCAAAGTGTGAAGGGATTGAAGCGAAGTAAGGTGCCATCAATCGCCTAACTGGCGCATTCCTTTCCCCCACCCCCTCCCCTCTCTCTTGCTCACCAGCTTGACTTCGCACGGTGCACACGCGCCTGGATGATGTGAGCTCATACAGAAGAAGCGGCAGCAGCAGGGGAGAGAGTATCGGCTGCGGGGGCAAGAAGGATAACCACTCTACGGCGCCTGTGGAACTGCCGAATCAAAACGTCTGATTGGAATTGTTGGGGGAGGTGGGAGAAACAGGTAAGAGGACACGACGCACCGCGTTCCTTCACTTGCCCCTCCCTTCGTCACTATGGAGAATTGCTAGGAAAATCAGAAAAAAAACTTCACCCGAATTCGGTCTCGCCTCGTAGCCCTCTTCGACACAACTTTTGTGTCCTCTGCACCCCGTTGCATTGCTTGAATTGTTGTCTGCTGGTCGAGGTAATCTTTCTTAATACCCCTCCTTAGAAAGCGTCGGGCGTTCGTCAGACGGAGATGCCGAAAGTTGGAGGGGGAGAGAAGCCGAGATGGAGAACAAGGGAAGGTTTTTCGCTTCCTATTACGTATGAAGTGCGCGGACGAGCGACCCCAAAACGGTGCCTGACTGTGCATGCGTGCGTGCGTGCGTGTGTGTGTGTGTGTCTGTGTGTGTATTTGGATGGGTCATCTTCTCACTTGCGACTCGCGTGAGTGCAACGAGAAAAGCAATGGGTGGCCTCCGTTCTTCGTGCTTTACCGCATAGTGGTGTGACACGCGAAGCGCCTTATACGTCCGCCTTCACGGCGAACACCATCTACCCGCTGACCCCATTGAGGGCGCTGTGTGCGGTCACCACGCGTGTCCCCGTGTATCTCTCTTCACACCCACGCGCATTCTTCGCCGCTGTAGAAGTCACTTACACGAAAAATAATAATGAAAAGGGGGAAAAGATGGGTGCGTGGAATCCTCTGTGAGAACACGCAGATACTGATACCTTTCTTTTGGTAATTGCTTTCGTCTTTGAACGGTGCTCTCTTGTTCCCCAACTCGCTAGCATTAGAGAAATAGGAGGGGGGGGCCACTGCTTTTCCTTTTGTTTTCACGTTTATGAGACTTCATCTACACGACACGGGGATTGAAGTTGGCTGAGCAACGCTATTGTCCCGGTAACGCTCGTCAAATGGAATGGTGGGGAAAGAGAAGAGAAAACAACGTGTAATTCGTGTGGCGCCGTCTGGAAGCGCGTCAATGAAGCGACTCATTCCTTCGAGCATTCTACTCTGCAGCTGGGGGCTCCTCATGACTAACAAGGCGCTGATACACAGACACTCGAGATGCTGACAGGAAAGGAGTTGGTTAGCCATTGTGACTGCGTTGACTTCATTAGGCGGGAGAGAGATGGAGAGGCGGAGGGCCATTCGCGTGGTGTAAGGAGGAAGGTGCGAGGCAGCGGTACATAAAGTTCGTTTGAGGGGAGGAAAGCGGTGCTTTGGCGAGGGTGGATAGGAAGCGGTGTTTCTAGAGTAAACCTGCGATGCCGTCGGTGGCTGTTGTTGTAGTTGCTGTGCGTGTGCGTGTGCGTGTGCTGACACGTTTACATTGAGTTGAATGCGTGGACGTTGACGTGCGGCGAAGAGCGCTGTGGTGGCAGCGCGGAAAGGTTGCTGCGCTGCTTCATCGGTGCCACTCGCTGCTTTGCGCGACGGGCATCATTTCTTCACTCCGTTGCTTCCATCCTTTCCCCGATTCTCGATAACTGACCGGGTGCTTCTTGACTGAGTCCTCCTCCCATGCCGTTCTCGTCCGTCGTCCTCCGACCTGCCACCGTCTCGTGTTATCTGTCAGCGCCTGTTGTGTGTGAGGTGATGATGCTGTGGGCGCGGGTGTCTCGCTTACACATGCCGTGGCCGCACTTCGTATCTGCAACGCTGTGTTTTGGGCTTCTTTCATAGTTTTATTGTTATTATTATTTGTCTGCGAAGATGCAACTGGGAAGAGAAACCTGCAGCGGTTTTATTGAATGGATTCAGTGGAAGCTTTTTCTCTTCTTCTTCCTTGATCATCTCGACTTAGGTGCAGGACTGTTTATCTGATACTCTGTGTCCCCTCAATCCCATTTCTATTTCTTCCTCTCTGTGCCTGCGTGTGCGTGTCTATGTGTGTGCGGGGTGCCTATGCACTGCTGTTCCGTCACGCACAAGTACGGGCATCTCGATAGACAACGTTTTGCGCTCGAGGCGGACCCGTGTGCGTGTGTTACGCACCCCACACACCGCTGAGTCCTTCACCTTCTATCTCGCTCGCTCGCTCAAACGCTGAACGCACGCACGCTCTCGCGCTCTCTCTCGGTATACAAGAGATGCGGCTTCCCTCTCTTAACATCTTTATCGATGAGTTCCCCGCGCTGCGCTCGTCCACGTGGCAGAGCGGGCCCATCGCCGGGCTCTTTGTGCTCTCCCACTTCCACACCGACCACATGAAAGGACTGCACGCCGCCTGGTCCACGGGAGTTATCTTGACGAGCCACATTACGAAGCAGCTCTTGCTCGGCAAGTTCGACGGCCTGCGCGGCCGCGTGTTTGGGCTGCCGTTTTGGTGCCGAACACCGTTGCTGACGGGAGCGGCGGCGGCCACGACGCAGCAGCATCCTCCGCAATGCTCTGCCGTGGGCTGTAGCCACCATTGCGGCGACATCCACTGTACCTCCGCTGACGCATCTACGGTGTACATTACCCTACTGCCGGCCTTTCACATTCCCGGCAGCGCCATGATTTATCTCGAGATGCCGTCCGGCGTCACCCACCTCTACACGGGTGACTTCAAGTTCACCGAGGCGGCTCGGCAGTCCCCGCTACGCAGTTTCCTGCAATCGCACCGGGTCGACCACCTCTACATCGACGATACGTGGCTGCATCTCGGGCACGTGGAGGTCACGCAGGGCCCCTCGTGCGGCCCCGCCACCTCTCCTCTCCACGGTGGTGGGCGTGACGGAGATGAACGGGATGAAAGCGGGGTGCGGGTGCTCAGCAAACTGCTGAACAGCGAGCAGGTGGCGGAGGCGATGGAGGCCATCGGCCGGCGCATGGATCATCAGCGTCTCCTCTTCGAAAAGTGGCAGCGCACGCGCGCAGCGGAGCAGAACAGCGACGGCGATAATCGCAGACAAGATGCCTCGAGCACGTCTGACTGCTCCCGCGCTCGTCAGCCTTTCGTGATGCGAGTATACCTGCACAACCAGTTTGGGAAGGAGATGTTGATCCAGCAGCTGGCGGAGCGCCTGCGCACGCGTGCCCTTCTCGACGATGTGCGCTACGTTCGTCTCTTGACGGTGGTGGAGGCACTGGAGGAGGAGCGGGATGACCTGCAAGCCTTTGCGTCCACCTCTGCAAGAGCAGCGGACGAACAAGGTGCGTCGGCAGCGGCGCACTCGAGCCCTCCTCTTTTATCGCCGGAGGAGCAGGCCTGGCGCGCCTCGGGCGGCGAGGCCGCACAGTACCCTTACAACCTGCGCTGCTTTGTGTCTCTCTCGCACGCCACTGCATTGCCACCCTCACCTGCCGCCGCAGCGAGAGAAACGGTGTTGTCCTTCTCTTCCTCTTCTCCTCGGGAGCCACCGCTGATTGAAGTGGTGAGTAAGCGGTCGGAGATCGACCCGGCGGCGCTGCAGGCGGCCTCCGGCGCACGCGGCGGCACCCCGTACTACGGCGTCGTCATCTCCGGCTGGGCACGGCTGCAGCTCGAGTCCCACCACAGCCCTGCCACCACCACCACCACCAGTGGGCAGGTCTGGCACATCCCGACCACCCTGCACAGCACCCCGCAGGAAATCGTTGACCTCGTCGCGCTGCTCCGCCCGCTCTCGGTGACGCCCCTGCACTACCGGCCGAGTCGGGCAGCCGTGGTGATGCAACGCTTGGGCCCGTATCTGCGCACGCCTTTTGCAAACCAGCACGACGTCGGACTTTCCGTGCCTCTCGTGACGTGCTGGACGCTGTGCCTGCCGGCGCACATCCTGTGTCAGGAGAGCTACAACTCTCTCGTCGTGGAGCAACCACGCCGAGGTAATCCCGCTGAGCTCTCTCCCACAACCGGCCTTTGGGGTGACTGCAGGGAGACGCTTTTCCCACCCCCCGAGCCAACTTCAGTGTCCTTTGGTACCGCCTTCACGGCACAGGGCAGCAGGGCGCGGTGGCCAGGGGAGGTCGGCACAGCGTCGAGTGCGCCTCCGTCAGCGAAGCAGCTGCTGCCTTCCTGGCACCTGCGCAATCTCACCGCGGCATTTGTGAACGGGCGCGACAATGGCAGGAAGCGCGATCGCGTGACAGCGGAGCCGTCAGCAACGGCAGGGCGGCGCCTACCCGTCCACGCAATGCCCAATGACGAGGTAAGCGTCGAACACGAAGGAGACGGCAAGGGGGACGTGGAGCGCGCCAGCACAGCACAGCCGCAACACACCGTCATGTCTCTTTCAAGCATCGCCGACGAGCTGCTTTGAACACGGATACTGGAAAGCTGCACACACACACATACATACATACACCCATACAAGCACACACGCACGCCTCAGGTATCTCACGCCTGCAAAGATGCGTTCACGTACGCATAGATCTGTCCCCGCATAGATGGCTCTAGCAAGGAAAAGAAGTAAAACAGAGAGAGAAGATCAAAGAGAAGAACAAGGTTGAGGCAAACGCGCCGCCGTACTTCAAAAGAAAAAAAATAGAACCTGTAAAAGTCCCTTTTTTTCCTTCATTGAAAGAGACAGGAGAAAGAAAACCTTTTGCACTCCCCATTAGGTTTGAGGGCATCGAAAGAGGACGCAAGCGTTGGTGTGTGCGTGGCGAAGAAAAAGAAAAGCGCGGCCCCTTCCTCGCGAAATGGCGTCCGTGGCTCGTAGATGTCTCTACGAAGGCGCGATCAACTGCTCTGTTCTTTTCCCTTCCTTATCGCTTTCCTTCGCCTCACACACAGCGTGGGTCACAGGCCACACACACACACACATTCATTGTAAGTACATATCGTAGTCGACACAAAGCGGCACTTAAAGAAACAGAAGTAATGTCCAAGCCAGACGAAAACGGAAATGAGCTGATGGAGATTGAAGAGGTCGCCGTGTCGGACGGCGGTGCAGCCCGCTTCGCCGCCGTAGACGTGAAGAGCGGCGAGGAGAAGTTCAACGTCATCTGGCAGGACACCGCGAAGCTGCTGCGCTTCGATGAGGGCGAGAACCAGTGGAAGGAGCGGGGGCAGGGGACCGCGAAGGTGCTGCAGCGCAAGGACGACACCGGCAAGTTCATGTTTCTCTTCCGTCGGGAGGGCATTGGCAAGCTGGCGGCGCAGCACTACTTGCTGAAGGGGATGAAGATCACAAAACACAAGCAGGGCGAAAAGTTTCTCATATGGACTGCGTTTAAGGACTTCACAGATGACGAGGAGGGGTTTCCGGAGAGCTTCACGATGCGCATGAGCTCGAAGGAGGCGGCGGACAAGGCGCTGGAGGAGATGCAGAAGGCGGTGGCCAACTCGTCCCTGTAGCGGAAATGAAGTGAACAGAAAAAGAGGAGGGAGCCACATAGGTCGTTTACACGACTCTGCCATTGGCTTACGTGCCCCTCGCTGATCTCCCTCTTGCTGTGCTGTTGTCTTCTTCTCTGCGTATTTCAACTAGTCTCTACCTTTTTTCTTTCTTTTCCTCGTTTGTCGACTGCAACAGTCGTGAAGATTGTGGTCTCACCGTCAGTTGTGATGTGGAATGAGCGGAGGCGACGCCGGCTTTTCCCAGGCTGCGTGGTGGCGCTGGTGTGGCGCTGACGTACCGCCACAGGTGCACGCTTATTGCCTTTTTTGTTCTCCTGTTGTTGTGTATTAGTTGGTGTGTTTCTACTTCTACGTCTAAGTGATCCTTGTAATCAAAAGAAATATATTTTTACGAGCGTTAAAGTATCATTCTTTCTTCCCCCGCTTATAAAGCAGTGTCCGCATTTTGCGGTACAGTGTGTGCGGTGTGAGATCTTCCTTTTCTTTCTCTTACACGGGAAGGGTACCACTGCGGAATGGATTGGCCATGCCACCTCTGTTGAATGAAGGCAAGCGTGCAGCCACCTCTTGTGAGGCAAAAAGGCAGACAAATATAGAGAATTTTGAAGTCCCGTTACCGTTTTTTTTGTTTTGTTTTGTCAACTGGTCGTCTCGTCATCTCGCGTCTCGCCGCTCATCTTCTCGCGAACCCCTTCTTCTCCTCTCTCTCTCTCTTTTGAACTCGTCCTTCACGTATGCGGAGAAGCTGCTCCTCGCGTGAAGGATCTTTCGGTGCATCTCTCGTGCCGCGCAGCTTCCTACCGCTTCTCTACCTTTCTGCGTTTATATTTTGCTCTGCATGTATACAGCCACCACCTGCTTCATTGGGTTTGGTGTTCTCTTCCGTTTCTCGTCAAATTCTCTGTGCGGTTCCGCTGCAGCCGACAACGCTGTCTTTCTCTCTCCCTCTCTCTTCCCCTCTCTGTCTTCGTTCGATTGAAAAACAAACAACAAGAAGACACCTTCATTCTGTGCGTTACCGCAGTTTTCACATTTTTCTTTTCTTTTTGACTGCTCTCCACCCTTTTTCTTCGCCTGCGACGTGTGTAGATCCGTATTTCCCTTTCTTCCTTGCACCCGTCGCTTTGCACGTCCGTCTCCCTTGTTTCTCTCTCTCTCTCTCTCTCTCTATATATATATATATATTTCTCCGCACCCGGCAGCCTCTCTCTGCCCCTGCTGCTTCAAAACTCGTTGGCCAAGACTCGACGTGCCACCTTCGGTCGTCTGCTTTATCGTCTTTCGACATTTCGTCCATCCAGTCCAATTAACGTCTCCGACACATCATCTACCACCCACACTCACACACTCTCACACGTGTACGCAAAAGAGAAGAGATGGATCAGCTGAGCTCCTTGTACGTCCGCATGGCGAGCGGCGCCCACAGCCAGCTGCACAACCCAGCCTCGGTGATGGGCTTTGTAGATCAGATGCAGTCACGCGTAGAGAAGAGCTCCGCCCCGCGCAAGAGCTTCCTCATCGACCCCGCCACACCGCACAGCGACGTCGTGATTGCGGAGTCCTCGGCGCTGAAGCAGAGCGTGGGGTGGGTCACCCTGCAAGTCACGGAGGGCATCCGCCGTGGCATCCACGAATGGGGAATCAAAGTCGAGCACCAGGGCGAGAGCAACGATGAGAGCGGGTTGATGCTCGGCATCTTGCCGAAGAGCTTCTCCAAGTACGACACCTTCATCTCACAAGGTGGGGGCTGGTGCTTGAGTCGCGCTGGTAAATTTTACGGCCACTGGCGCCGCACGGACACGGGCGGCGGGGCGCTGACGTTTGGCACCGGTGACCGCGTGGTGCTGACCCTCGACTACGAGGCGGCCGTGATGACGGTGCGCGTGGGCGAGAAGGTCGTGGTGGGTGAGTTGAGCGGGCTGACGATGGAGGTGTTCCCCGCGGTGTCGCTGCACTACCGGCACCAACACGTGCGCTTTGACCACCACGCCATTCGTGAGGCCTCGTCGCAGCACCTGCCGTGGCGGCAGCGGCAGACCTTCCCCCTCGCCCCGGCCTACATGCCGCTGAGCTTTCCGGATGTACAGAATCTCCCGTTGAACTCCTACCTCTTCAGCAGCCTCTTTCAAAACTGCCTCTCCCTCGAGGGCAGCAGCGCCATCACGATGGAGGAGGACCGCAACGCGACCAACACAGTGCCGGGCGCCGCGTCGGCAGCGTCCCTGCACGAGCTGTTGGAGAAGGAGCGTGCGGAGCACGCGGCCATGACGACGGCACCGGCAGAGGCCACCGCCGCCATCACCAGGGAAAAGGAGCAGCGGGCCATGCGGCTCTATCTGTCCGCTGAGGCCTCCGCGGCGCGTCTCACGGTGCTCTCCCGCGCGTTTGCGGCCGTCCGTCGCTACGTGGCGGTGCAGCCCGGCACGTCCTCCTTTCTCTCCCCGCACGTCACGGCGGAGTACCTGCGTAAGCGGTTGTACGAGGCGGCGCGGGAGAGCGCGCTGCGTGCCGGCAGCCAGAGCGGTGCCCTCTGTGTCTCTGCCGCGAACAGCGTGTCCGCCTTCTCCATGGGCGGCAACCCAGCCAGCCCGAGCAGCAGCAGCAGCAGCGGCGGCGTTACCGGAGGCGGGGGCTACGATGCCGCCCTCAACTGCGGCGCCGTCATCGTCGTACACCTCTTTGTGCAGGCGGTCTCGAGTGGGCAGGGGGTCGCCGCCCCCCTCGTCGTGAGTTTCCGTGACTTCATACTGTCGCTGCCGATCTTTTCTCTTGTAGAAGGCGGGGCGGGCGGCTCGGTGCTGGCGCCCGATACGGTGCAGCTCGCCGTCGACCACATCGTGCGCCTGCTTGACGCCTCCACGGACTTGTCGGACAGTGCCGCCGCCGCCGCTCGCCCTGCCACGACAACGGCGACTGCCTCGTCCAAACAGCCCAAGACGCGGCAAGACGGGCAAGGCGACGCCCCGGTGTCGACATGCACCGCCGCGCTGCTGGAGGTGGCGATGCTGCTCGCCCTCCAGCGCGGCCTCGTAAGCGAGGTGCTGCGTGTGTGTCGCTACCTCCTACGGGTGCCGGCCGGTACGCTGTCCCCTGCGCTGGTCGCATGGCTGCGGCGGCACACAACCGAGCTCGCGCCCCGCCAGCCGCTGCCCGATGTCGGTCACGCGCTGAAGCGCGCCTGCGAAGATCCGGCGAGCTTCACGCCGACCCAGATTGACCCCTCCACGGTGGTGCTGGCCGTCGCCTACGGTGCTGGATGTGCCACTCTGTACCTGCACACCGCTGACGGTCTCAGCAAGTGGGGACCATCCGCCGCCACTCCCTACGTGCTGCTGGTCGACACACGACTGCCCGCGCCCTACTGCACTGGTGCGTCGCGGTCTAGCATGGCCGTCACGCACACGCACGTGCTGCTGCTGACGGACCGCATGGCCAGTGAGGAGGTCGCACTCGTGCTCTACTCGCTGCAACTGGACCAGCACCAGGTGCTGCGGTGGGCGGACATGCACAGCAGCTGGCCGCGCTCGCCACGTGCGAGCCCGCAGTTGGCGACCATGTCGGGCGACGGCGTGCTGCTCCTCTTCGAGCGGAGTGCACCGGCGCCGGCGTCGGTGCGGACGGCGAACGGCGCGGCGGCCGTCGCGGGCACGCCGGCGAGTGCGGTGGCAAGCGGCAGAGGCGGCCGCCGGCTCGTTGACTCCACCCCACTGGCCGTACCGTCGCCCCCCTACGGCGCACCCGCTGCTGCGCCGCCGCTCCTCTCGGTGGAGTGGGAGGTGGTGGTGCTCGGCTACAGCGCGGCAACGGCGGCCGCGCTCAGCGGCCCGCCGCTTTGGACGCGCACGTTGCAGCCGCCACCGCCCATCAGCGCATCGGGGGTGCGCCTGGACCGCTGCCTGCTACTGCGCAAGCCGAGTCTGGTGGACCTCGGCAGCCCCGAGGAGCATCTAACCGTCGTGGGTGGACACGTAACGGTGGAGCTGTGGGTGCAGTTTCTGGATAAAGAAGACGCGGCGACGCTCTACCAGCACGGCGACCGCAGCACCAACGGCGAGGTGTTTCTGGAGCTGATCCGGTGGGAGGGCTCGCACTGCATCCGCGGCGGCTATCGACACGACGTGCGCGGGTCTTGCCTCGTCTCCGCCCCTCTCCCGCCCACCGCGGAGAGTCGGCCGCTGCATGTTGGGCTCGTCTTCAACGGCCGCTGGCGGTTGTTCTTCGACGGGGAGGAGGTGGCGGGCAATCGCCAAGGCTCGCACGTCGCCCTCGACGCACCGAAGCAGCGGTGGACGGTCGGTGCCGGCTGCACGTGTCTGCTGACCGGACTGCGCGTGTGGCGCCTCGGCCGCACCGCGCGCGAGCTCAGCCGCGACTTTCGCCGCTCCCTCGCCGGCGATGAACCGGGTTTGGTGGCGCAGTTTTTCTTCAACGAGCGGGGCGGCAACGTGGCGCTGAACTACGTGCATCAGGTCAAGGCATCGCACGCAGTGTGCAGTGGCGGCTTCGCGCACGTGCCGTGCGCCACACACCCGTGGCGCCACTACGGAACGTCGTCTGTTGCTGCCGTGGCGTCCGCAAGCATCGAGTCCGCCGCCAACCCCGGCACTGCTGCGGCGTCTCTCGCGTGCGACAGCACTCCCGCCTGCGGCCGCCTGCATGAGTGGCGAGACCTCACTCTTACCACCTGCTGCGTCGTACGACACGTGCTGCTGCTCAGCACACCGGTCGGCGACAGCAGCCCCTACCCGTCGAAGGAGGGCGGCCGTGCCTTGATGTTCTTCGACCTCGCCTCTGGTGTGGCGCACCGCTCCCTGTTCTTCCTGACAAGCCGAAGCCCTGTTCGGCATTGGATGCGCGCAGACCCGGCAGGGCGCCTGTGGGAGCTCTTCGAGGTCGACGCCAGCCTCGTGAAGGGTGAGCAGGAGGCCTCCTATTTGGTGTCGCTGCTGAACGCGACCGGGTCGTCCCCGCAGCGGCCGCGCGAGCGCATTCTGGCGGTGGTGCCGCTGCCACTGGAAGAGGAGGAAGACGCAGAGCGGCTGTGCACATTTGTGGAGGACGACAGCGCCTTCGTCGAGGTCGAGCACGCTGATGCAGTGATGGCGGCGGCGTCGCCTTCGCTTGACCGGAGAACGAGCAGCAACAGCAGCAGTAGCACCGCAGCAACAGCAGCGACAGGAGCCGCGCAGTGCGGACCGGTCGTTGCGAGCACGCCCGCGGAGCCAGACCAGTTTCATTCGCAGCTGTCGTCCTTCGCTGCCCTCGTCGCGCAGCCCGGCGCGACCGTTTCCTACTCGACGGTAGCGCTGTGGCTGTTGAAGCTGCTGGCGGCACACGCCGATGCCGACCCGGACGCCGATCAGGCCCTCTTCACCCCTCTCGCCGATGACGTCAGCAGTCGATGTGTGACGGAGGTCCGTGTCATACTGTGCGAACACGTTCGCGTCGTGCGGGCCAACAACGCACGCCGTGCAGTGGCACTGCGGAGTTCGCTGTCGTGGGTGGTGGTCGCGGTGGCGCTGCGGGTGCTGCTGCGGCTTATTCGCCGTGCCCGTGCCTTCGGCCTGCACCCCGGTCCGCTGAAGCTGACAGTGGTGAAGAAAAACGGCGAAGGCGAGGAGCTCGTAAATGGGGAAAAAGGTCTGCCGCGACTCGCTCAGGGGGAGGAGGCGGCGGCCGCGTCAGAGGCGACGATGTCGCTGCTGCTGCGTGAGCTGCATACCTCGTCCTTGCGGCGCAGGACTGCGCCGTCGCCGGCGCACGACGGACCTGACAATGCCGATTCATCGACGCTGCTCGGTTTGCTGGCGGACGTGATCAACGAGGATGGCCTGACGCTGCCGACAGTCGTCGTGACCCTCGCGCGCACCGTGACGGTGGAGGGCGTAGGGCTCTTCCTGCCCGACGTGCGGCAGCGCGCGAAGCTGCTACGGGATATGCTCCGGGCCTCCTCGCCGTTGTGCGCGTCGCCGTTGGCGTCCGCCGCCTCTCTTAGATCGCAGCGCCGCAACAGCGACGCAGGAGACAAGAATACTGGCGGCGGTGATGGTGGTGCGAGTAGCAGTAGTCGTCCCAGTAAGACAGTGGACGAAGCAGCAGAGGAGCGCGTGCCGGCCATGAACGTGCTGTTGGACGCCGTGGCGCAGAGCTTCACGACGGTGCTGGCGGCAGCCCCCTTGCTGTGCGTCGAGGACGGCGTCGCGTCCCTCTCCGACGTGTGTGACACGTTGCGCACCCTCTTGCAGGAGTCCGCCGTGCAGTGGCGGCGCAAATGGAGTGTCGCCTCTACCCCCTCGCCGTTGGTGAGCAGCACCACGACATCGAACACGGAGTTCACGGCAACCGCAGCCTTGCACGTCGCCGCCGCTGTGGTTGTCGCACGCCCCTCCAACTCGTTCCACTCCTTCGCCTTCTCCCTTTCCGAGGCCATCGCGTCCCTGCAGCTGCTGCTGCTGAGTGCGTGCCAAGGCAACCGTTGGGAGGTGGCCCTCACAGAGATGCACGCCAGCGCGGGGGGTGCCACGAGTGGTGGGGGTGGCGGCGGTGGGGGCAACAACGGTGGTCGTGCCGTGGGTGCCGGTGCAGCCAACAGCAGTGCCGGTGATAACAACAGCAACGGTGGTGGAAACAATGGCGGGTGGAGTACACAGAGCTACATGGGCGGCCTGGCTGGCGCCCGCGACGCTATTTCAGCTGCCGCGCTGGACTTGCAGCACCTCTGCTTCTCCCAGGCCGCCTCGCACCACCCCTGCGTTCGCCTTCACTACAGCGCCCTCTTCACCAGCGCGGCGTCGTGTCTCGCCTTGTGCGTGGAGGCGCAACAACAGGAAGAGGAAGAGCAGCAGCAGCAAAGCGATGCCGTTGCAGCGAAGCGTGCTTCGTTGCTGCCGGCGATGGTGGCGAGTCTGGCTCCCACCTTCCTCACCGCCCCGCTGCACACCGCCCTCAGTGCCATTCCGCTCGTGCTGACCGTGGAGGACGGGGAGTGGTTTCAGGCCGAGCTCGGTCAGCTTTTGCGTCTCTCGGAGAAGCTGCTGGGCACCCTCTCCGCGTCGATGACAAGCGACAACAGCGGTGGTGTCAATGTGGCGGTGCCGAGGGAGTTCAGCAACGACGGTGGGGCCTCCGTGGCGGCCGCACGCCGTCTCCTGTCGTCGCTGCGCGAGTCTCTCTACTACGCCTCGGTGTGGGTGGCGGCCTTTCTCTTCAACTGCTCCACCGTTTCCTCGTCCAGCGTGAAGGAAGAACAGGTGCGGCAGCGGCTGGGCCTCGCCTCTGTCACCGCGACCCCCACCGCGCAGCGCACTGTGACGAACCTCACGGCCATCCTCGACTGCGCGCCGGCGGAGCCGTCCATGGCGCCGTCATCGTCGACATTACGGCGGACGGCTGCGGCGGAAGCGGAGGCCGCCGCGGTGTGGGAGCAGCCATTGCTGGAAGGCGGCATCTGGCCGCAGGACGCCGGCGCAGACGCCGAGCAAAATCCCACGAGCGACGCCGGCCGACGTCGCGGTGCGTACATGGCGCACCTCGTTCACAACACCGCCTACTGGTCCGCCAAGCAGGCCGCTTTTGACCACCTCGGCTCGAAGGCGTCGAGTGCGATGGCGCCCCTCATCACGCTGATGGCGGCTGCCGCCCTGCATCTCAGCTCCCTCCCCCTTCCGTCACTTACGGCAGCACAGGTGGAGAAGCTGATGTGCGGTGTGATGCGTCAGCTTTCACGGCCGGTGCGGACAGAGCTACTAAGTCGCCGCGAAGGGGAGGGCGACCACGTTGGCGACACCAACGGCGGCGGCGAGGCAACGCTAACGACCCCGCTGAGTGCGCTTTCCCCTGTCAGCCGACAACGGGCGTTGGACGCGATGCTGAAGGAGTTGCAGCAGCGGTGTGAGCTGTTGCTGCGGGTGCGCACCTGTTCCGAGGTGTGGGATGTTGAAGATGCGTTGTTTATGCAGCCGACGTGCGATGCGGAGACCGCTTCAGAGGCATCGCTGCACGTTGAGCGAGGAAGTGCACCACCGCAGCAGCAACAGCGGCGTACTTGTGCAAAAAGAAAACTCCAGGAGGCGTGGCACGCCTATGAGCTTCGAAGGATGCGCTATCGTGCCCACGTCGCCTCTCGACCGAGCTGCACGCTGCACGAGGCAGTCCAGCTCGTCAAGCACGTCATCCTCTCGCGCGCCACGACCGCAGCATCGCTGCGGGCGGCACTGCGGCAGCGAGAGAGCTTAGCCGCCCTGCGTGAAGCTGGCATTGACCGTTTAGTGCAGCTGGTGATGCGAGCTCCGTGCAGTGCGGAGAGCGTTGCGCAGCTGCTGAGCGCGCAGGGTCGAGGTGCGGAAAGCCATTTTGAGGATGGCCTGCGAGGCGGCGGCCACGGCTACGTGGCGCGCATTCGCAGTGCGTTGTACGAGCTGCTGTCCTATGCAGCAGCACCGGCGCCGGATCAGCGCAGCAACCGTGCGGGGGTGTCCCTCTCCCTTGTCAGCTCTGCGACGGTCCTGTGCGGGCTGCTCGACCGCGCATGGCAGCCACGCGATTTTGCCTTCTTTGTGCAGCTGCGTGTGGTGCCGGCGCTAGTGGAGTGTTACCTTACGCTTTTCAAGTCGCGCGCGGAGCCCGCCCGCGTTGTCGGCACCTCGAATGCGCGCTGCGGTGGCGGAGAGAGGAGTGGCGAACGACGATCGTCACACGTTGGCGGCAGCACTACGCCAGCCAGTCCGCGACGGCACTCCGCCACCGGCGCCGTCCCCCGTGCGCGCTCCGTGGAACTGCGCCCGATCGCACTGACGGAGCGGCGGCACCGGGATGAGGTGGTCACCGCCCAGCAGGCCCGTCGGTCCAGCAAGAGCACGTTAGTGTCCGCTGCCGTCCTGCGTGGGCAGAGCGTCGCTGGCGAGGGCGGCGTTGCCGGAAACGGCGGTGGTGCAGATGGGCCGCTACAGTATACCGCCAACGAAGCCATGCAAGCGAAGGTATGGCTGACAGTAAAGAACTTAATGCTGCAATCAACGGCGATGCTGACCGCAACGCAGCTGTCGTCCATGTCGCGGGTGGAGCAGACGGCGGTGATGGCCTTTCTTGCGGACGCGCTGCGTGCGGTCGGAGCCGAATTGCAACACTGCCGCGACGTGCTCGCGCGGGCGGTGATCGACACACCGGTGCTGCTGGCGCAGGCGGGCGATGCGGCCGTGCTGGAGCCGCTCGTGACGGTGCAAGATCAGGTGGACCTGCTGTGCAGCCTGCTCAGCGTCGTGGCCGGCACGCTCAGCTCCCCCACAGCCGCCTTCAAGGAACAACCGTCCATGACCAACGCGGGGGAAAGGAAGGATGACGCTGCGGACGGTGCAATGTTTCTGAATGGAGCACTCGGCACTGTGTGCGCCGGCGTTGCCGAGACGTTGCTGGAGCTTGTCGCGCTCGACGTCCACCATGCACGCGTCGTGCGGAACGAAGCCGGGGTTGGCTGCGTCGTGCGGGATGCGGCGGCCTGTGCGCGTATTGCGGGTTTGCTGCTCTGCCGCTGCCAGCCCGTCGCCATCCGTTGTTTTGCATCAACGACAACAGAGTCGTCGTTCGTCCCTGCCTCTCCGTTCTCCGCGTGGAATGCAATATACGCATCGCCGGTGTTCACCGCCGTCCCGCGTGCTGCGTCGTCCGGCGACAAGGGCGGACACACCTGCATCCAGCGGTGGCTCGACCTCTGCACGTACGCGGTGGCCACGACGGGGCTGAGTCGTACCGCGCAACACGTCCTACTGACCCTGCGACGGCTGCTGCACCAACCAGCCTGGGCCGCCGAGCTGCGCGGCTTTGCGGCTGCCTACAAGTGTCTTGTTCTCACGTACGTCAAGCTGATACAGGTGGGGGACGGTGAGGAGGAGGAGAAGGGGCAGAGCAGCGGGGGCTCTACCCGTGTACGCGAGCTGTCTGCGGTGCAGCTCTATGTGTGGGTGGTCGTGCTGGGTGGACAGCTGCTGGCGCCGCCGGTCGACCTGGGGATGGTGGTGTCCTACCTAGACGAAAAGGACGGCTTTCAGCCCACATTGGCCTACGTGGTGGACGTGGAGTCCGTGAGTGTGTCGACGACCTCCACGACGAATGCGCTGACGGCGGCAGCACCGCAAGCAGCAGCGTCGACCAGCCGACACGTGCGCGGCGCGAGTCACCTTCCATCGAAGTTAGCGGCCGCGATGGCGGGGGATGGGGAGCGGGTGCGCAGCGTCGTGGCGGTCCCTATCGACCCGTCCAGCGGCTGCAGCCGCGAGGCGGAGGAGGTGTCGCTGTCACCGCACCAACTTTTTCTCCCCGCGTGGGAGGCGCCGGTGGTTGTGGCGGTGGTGCCGCCATATGCGAATCTGGTAGAGGACTTTCTGATGCCCGCGCTGCAGCACAGCGTCCCGCTGCTGTTCGAGAAGCTGCACGGCGCCGCCTCCTTCAGTTCGATGGAGCTGCTCGTGTTTACGAGTCTGCTGCAGCTGACTGCTGGTGTGATGCGGGCCCGGCCAGATCTCGCGCGGCGTCTGATCGAGCATGGTGCCTTGCCGTCTATCCGGCAGCACGCACTGCAGGGGGTGGTGCGGCTGCCTTTTCCGTTGAAGGTGCTGAAGGAGTGGGCGGCGCTGGTGGCGGTGCGGTCCGCGGAGGAGGTCGCGGAGCGCATCTACACCCCTGAGGAGGAGGGCAGGCGAGGCGGCGCAGAGCAGGCGGGAGACGCGGGAGACGCGGGAGACGCGGAGGTGCGAGAGAGAGGAGAAGGCAGACGGCAAGGCAGGACGGCGCGGAGCAACACGACGCCGGTGAGTGGCTCTCCTCTCCCAGCAAGCCGGTCCGCAACGCCCACGGCCGCGGCGACGACGACACCCGCCACGTTGCGCACGCCAGCAGGCTTTGCCAACGAAAACAGCGGTAGCATCAGTAACTCCCCTCTGACAGTTGGTGGTGGTGGTGCTTCAGCCGGCCGCCCGGTGTACACGTCGCTGTCGGCCCCGTTGGCGCCTTTACCCGGCTCGGGCGAGGCCCTGCTAGACACCTTCCGCAGCGGCGGCCTCTCCGCCTCCTCCACCGCTGTTTTTTTGCCGGGAGGCGGGGGCGGGGGGTACGTGGTGGGCAACAGCGCGTCGGCGACGGCGTCCTCTGCGGGCGCGCACCTCACTGCCCCGAGCGCCCTGACGCGGGACATCGCCAGCGACTACGGGCTGCTGCGGCTTGCGAGAAGCTTTGGCGTGTTTGCCGGCGCGTACGGCGGTGTCCCCTCCTCTTCTTCGATGAGCGCGGCGCTGGGCAACGCGCGCAGCTCCCCTGGCGCGTTGCTCGCCAGCGCTACGCCAACACCGACGATGAACACCGGTGGGAACCCGAGCAGTCTGACCGACGGCAGCGGCACGCCGGCGCCGGCGCGTATTCCACCCCGCACGGAGTTGGGTACGAACGGTGGGGCACCGATGTTTTTGTCGTTTCCCATGTGGGACGCACACCCACTGAGCAGCGCCGCCCCTTCCTCGCACACGCCGGCCGCCGTCACCATTACCCCGTCGCGGCCCGAGGTGCGCTTCCCGGTGTGGGACGACGGCTTCGCGATTGAAACGGCGGTGCTGTTGAACGACGGCGACGTGTATCCGGCGATAGGGGACTCGCTGAGTATCCCATGCTCGTGGGCCCGGGTGAGCGCTTCGGACTACGAGGAGGACAGCGTGCCGCCTGCCTCGCCCTCGCCGTTTGAGTTCCCGCTTGTCACCCTCTACGCCGCGGTGGAGCCGACAGTGGCGACCGGGAAGCTGCTGCCCTTTATTCAGATCAAGGTGCATCGCGGCTGCCTGAGTGCTACCATCACGTTTCCACGCACCAACGCCGGCGATCACGGGGGGCCGGAGACGGTGTTTGTGACCAAGGCGATGCGCCGCGAGGACTGGCACCACTGCATGCACGTCTCCCTCATGTGTAACGCGTCGTGTGTGACGTTGTGCCGCAACGGCGAGGCCGCCAACGTCGAACTCCGCGGTGACGTCGGCCGGCGGCTGGAGACGCTGCTGCGGCAGGACGGTTTTATTCGAGCCGTGGTGCTCGGCCGCCACGCTGCCGCCGTTGTGGGGGCGGATGCGCCGGTTTCTCTCCACGACATCCGCGACAGCAGCAGCGGGGGATGTGCGACGCCGGTGCGCGAGCTGGACGGCCCCATGGCACTGCTGGGCGGGCTGCGCATCTGGGGCACCTCGGTGCTGCGTACGTCGGTGCGGGTGGTGGCCGAGCTCGTGGCGCGGGATCACGCCTTGCAGCCCTTCGGCCTGCCCGAGCACCTGTGCTTCTTTGAGATGAAGGAGGGCAGCGGCGGGGTTGTGCACTCCGCGGACACGTCCCAACAGTACCGCGGCATGCTCTCGGGTGGGGTTCGATGGTCTATCGAGCCACTGCCGCTCGGGTTTTACCCCTCCATCGAGCTCAACTCCGGCCGTGCCCGCAGTGGGGTGTCGACGCCACCGGTCAGCAGCACCAGCCTGCCCCGCTCGACGATGTCCGCGTTGATTCAATCCCTCTCGCCACTTTTCTTTTCACGGTTTGCGGGGGACGTGATGTGGTCGCTGTTGTCCATGACGGCGCGACACGCAACGGTCACCGCCTTGGAGGTGGGCATGAGTCCCGCGTACGAGCTGCGGTGTCTTTCTGACAAAAGTGCTGCGCGTCGCCTCGCGCGGCCGCGTTGCTTCGACCCCCGGCAGGTGCTGGACCCGAACCAGAAACTGCCCTACCAGCTCTACCGGCTCTTCCAGTTGCAGGACAGCGGATGTCTGCCGAACAAGTACGAGCGACTCATTCACGGGGTGGTGCAGCGGCTGGTGACGGTGTTGGCTGCTGAAGAAGGAGGGGACGGAGGCAACGACAAGGCGAACGAGGACACACCGTCTACGCAGCGGGCGGCGAAAACGGAGGCAACGCGCAGCGCTCCACTCATAAACCCGCACGGTGCGAAACCATCCGCAAACCCCACCGCGGCAGCAACACCAGCTGTCATTGGCACGTCTTCCCTCACCACCTTTGTCGGCGACACAGCGCTGCTGTTGCGTCAGCTACGACGCGATGATGGGGAGATGTTTGTGATGGAGCTGCCGCCGGCGAGGGGGCCGTCCGCCGCTACCGTCCCCGCCACCGCCGCTTCCTCGGCTGCCCTCAACGCGGCGCAAGGGGCCGCGATTCTGCCCATTTCCCTCACCAACGGTGGCACAGGCGTCCTGTCGTTCGACACCAAGTACCGCAACATGGAGCAGGCGATGCTGTACAAGGATGAGGAACTGAAGAACATCCTGGCGAAGTACCCCGATGGTCAGGGTGGGTGGCCGGCCTACACGCTGACGGCGTCGGCGGCGCCGTGGGCCTACCTGCGCAGCGTCTCCTCCTCCGCCGCTGGGCATCGACTGACGATGAACGGGAAGACGAGTGAAGCGCTGACCTCGTCGATTCTGACGGTGACGGTGAAGTCGCTGAAGCCGGTAATTCTGCACGCTGCGGTGCGGGCCCTGTGCGACGCGCTACGCGGCCTGCCGACACGTCAGCGCCGTGATGAACGCCGCCGTGGCAGCAACACAGAGAGGGGGTCCCTTTTACCGGTGGTGGCGGCCGGTCTGCTGGACGCGCGCGTTGTGGCCTCGCTCATCCAGCAGAGCAGCGCGCGCTCGAGCGACGACGACTGCGCCCACTTTGTGCGCATCCTGACGGATCTCCTGCAGCTGTGGCGGTGTGTGCCGCGGGTCTCCCCTCATGATCAGCTTCCCCTGGCGATGGCCATGTCGCACCTCAACTTGCCGCTCTGCAGCATCGTGCAGCGTCAGAGCAGCGACGCCGATCTCGGCTCCCTCCTCTCGACCACCACCGGGACATATAGCCCGTACGTGCAGGCGCTCGTGGGGCTGTGGGCGACGGCCATACAGGTGGATTGTGAGTGGGCGGGCCGCACGTACGCGGAGCAGCTGCGCGCGCGTTGGCGGCGCCTTCTGCGGACGTGGCGGCGGTCGGCGGTGCATCGACCCGCCGCATCTCGACTCCCACCTCGCAAAACGTCATCCAATGCGCCGAGCCAGCCAACCACGGGGCGTGTCACGGGGCTGACGGCAACTGAGACTTCGCGAGGGCGGCAGGGACCGCAGCTCTACACGCCTCCCTCGTCACCCAACATGCGTGCCCAAGTCCGTACCGCCGCCGCCCTCAGCACGGATGCACCCTTCGCACCGGAGAGTGAGCCGGGGAAGGCGCGACAACAACGCGGCGAGGAAGTCGCAGGCGAAATGCGCGACAGTGCACCGCCCGCTGTGGAGCTGGTGGCGATGGAGCCGCCGGCGGGGTCGCCCGGCTCGCCGTCCTCTCCGACGAACAGTGAAGGGGCCCGGCACGATGTCGCTGTGCGCAGGGACCGCTGCCCGAAGGGTGTAGCCCGGAAAGGAAACGGGCTGTGGGTTGTGAAGGGCGGCAGCGGTAGTAGTGGCAGCACAGCCGAAGGGGCCCAAGACGACCCCGCACGCAATAGTGGTGGTGGTGGTGGTGTGTCTGGCAGGAGCGGCGGCGCCACCACCGTGCGCAGCAGCGTGGGCTTCACGAGCGGTGCGGTGTACTGGGAGGTTTACGTGACGAACATCAGCCGTTCGGAGCACCCGCCGTCGCTGACAAACGGCTCCACTCTGGCATCCAACGTGCTGGTCGGGGTCGCGACGGAGCGCTGCACACCGATGTTCTCCCTGTCCGGCCCTGATGGTGCTGGGGTGTTCTTGGGGAACGACTCCGAGTCGTGGGCCTTCGACGGGGGGCGGGCATTGCGTTACTACAAGGGCTGCTGCCTCGAGTCGGGTCCGCGCACGAAGTGGAAGATGGACGACGTCATCGGCTTCGTGCTGGACATCGCACGGAATCGGCTGTGCTGCTCGCACAACGGCCGCCTCGTCGCGGAGTTCAACGGCAGCTTCCTCTCGCCGCAGCAGCGCGCGGAGCAGGTGGCGCTTTTCCCAGTCATCATTTGCGCTGGCGAGGGCAGCTGCGAGGTGAACTTCGGCGCGACTGGGTTCGCCTCGAGCCCGCCGCCGGGGTGTCTGCCGGTGGACCCGTCGCTCTACGTGAGTGAGGAGGCGGCGCGTGTGTGGCAGCTGGTGCTGGCCGAGGAGCTGCTGACGCCGCGTGGGCCGGGTGCGCTGTCGAGGATGAATACGCGGGGGACCACCAACAGCACCGTTGCCGCCGCTGCTGAGGAAGCGGAAGAGGAAGAAAAGACAGCGGAATCGAACGACCTGATCGCTTTCGTGGGTAATGACGGTGCTGAGAGGGGTGTGTCTTCTCGCCGAGCTCGTATCCTGGCGCACCCTGCCCTCCCACATCTATGTCGTCATGTGGCTGCTTACTCCAAAGGCCGCTTCGGCCCTCTCGATGTGGTGTTGCTGTGCCCCGACGGCAACGCCAAGACGGTCTCCTCGCGCGAGTGCAAGACGGACAAGGAGTCGAGTTTGCTGCTGGGCAGCGTCGCGGTTACTTCGGGGCGGTGGTACTTTGAGGTCGTCCTGCCGGGGGAGCCGACCTTCCACGTCGGGTGGTACGCGTGGCGGGCACTGGAGGAGCAGGGCGACGGGGGAAACGGGGCGGCAACCACGGCGCTGAACCCCGATACGCCCGCAACCGCCTTCCTCGCCTCACCCAACGGCCGTGCCCAGCTTGGGCACGACGCCTTCTCGTGGAGCCTCGATGCAGCTCGCATGGCCGTACGACACAACAAGCAGCAGCGCACGTTAGCGCGGCGGGCGTGGAAGTGCGGCGACGTCGTGGGCTGTCTGCTGGACTGCGACGCCGGATCGGTCGCCTTTACGGTGAATGGAGAAGCCCTGGTCGAGACGCACGGCGGCGCCACCATCTTCAGCGGGCGATCACCACCGCACACACCCCCACCGCTGCTTTCCACCTCGCCACATCAACAAACGGCATCCGCGCCGACGTCGCCACTGCGAGTGCAGCCGGAACGTCGACCGAGCAACACAAGCGGCGCTGTCGCAGCCACAGAGGCACCGTGTAACACGCCTGCAGCGCTGTTCACGGGCATCTCAATGAGCGAAACACGTGGGTTGGTGCCGGCGATCCTGCTCGAGCCCAAGTCCGCGCTGGGGTGCCTGTGGAACGCAGACGAGTTGCTCTACCCACCACAAGACGGCAGTTACCGTGCGTTGGGGGGCGCGCACGTGGTGCGCAACGCGCTGGTGCAGCTGATCACACAAACCTCGACGGACGTCAGCGGCAGTGTCACGGCCAACGGAGGCGGTGGCTCAAACAGAGGGGAGGAAAAGTGGCGTGCCCCGCGTGCAGTGCAAACGGCTGCTGCGCCTTCTCGTTGGCTGAACACGGCTGCCCTGCAGGAGTTGTTGTACTACGCCAGCAAAGTGCAGGAGCTGTGCCCGACCAGCCTGCGCAGCTACACCATGCCATCGCTGTTCAACGTCCCGCGGATGGAGTCTCCAGGCGCAGCGGCAGAAGACGACGCCACCAGCACGGATGGGCCGCAGTCCCCCTCTCGCAAGCTGTCGCAGCAGCAGCAGCAGCAAGACCTCTGCAGCGCGAGCGGCCTTGACGTCCCACAGCTGCACACACATTTGGCAGCGCTGCTCTTCTTTGCGCACCTCTTCACCTTTCTCTACCCCTTTGCCCACGCCGCGTCGCTGCCCTTCATGGTGGAGGACACGCCGCTGGGCAGCAACTGGGCCATGACAAACCTGCATCGCACACTGAACCAATGCCGCGCCTTTGCGCCACCGTGGACGGCGCTGCGCGTGCTGCAGTGGTCGCTGGACGCCTCGAACGGCGCCGGCGACGCGGTGCGGCTAAGCGTGAATCGCCGCAAGGCGCTGACGGTGGTGCGCGACCCGTCTGCGTCAATCACGCGGCGACTGCGAGACAGTTTATTTGGTCAAGTGTATCAGCTGCTCTCAACGAAGGCGGCTGTGCTGTTCACGACGAACAAGAAGATGTGGACGGTGGCGTTCTACGGCGAAGGCGCCGACGACGTCGGTGGGCCCTACCGCGAGTGCCTTACGCAGATGTGCACCGAGCTCATGAGCGGCTCGCTCACCCTCTTCTTGCCCAGCGCGAACATGGCGAATGAGTTGGGCGAGGTGCGGGATGCATTTGTTGTGAATCCTGTCTGTGCCCCACCGGTGGAGCTGCTCATGTACCGCTTTCTTGGGCGGCTGATGGGCGGCTGCCTGCGCGGCGGAGAGCCGCTTTCCTTGTATCTGCCAAGCGCGCTGTGGAAGTACCTGGTAGGCGAGGCGGCGGACGACACGGACATGGCGCGGGTCGACGTGGCGACGCTGCACGCAATAGAGTACGTGGAACGCATTGCAGGGACGACTGGTGCGAGCAAAGCGGTCTTGTCGATGACAGACGAGGAGGTGGCGGAGCGCAACGCGGAGTTGGTGGAGCTCTGCCCCGGCGGGTTCTCTCTCCTGAACGACGCCGGTGTGGAGGAGGAGTTGGTGCCCGGCGGGGATCAGGTTCCGCTCACGGTGCACAACGCCAGCCTCTACGTCCGACTTGTACGCGAGCAGAAGCTGTACGGCAGCGGCGCGGCGCAGCGTCGGGCGCTGCAGCAGGGATTTCACGAGGTGGTGCCGTTGTGCAGCGTGGCTGGGCTGAAGTGGTACGAGCTGGAGGAGTTGGTTTGCGGGCAATGCGACTACGACCCCGACGCGCTGCTCGACACGGCCCGCTTCGACGGCCTGGAGGCGTCGGACGTGCGCATCGCCTTTTTGCGAGCGGTGCTGCGCGGCTTTACGCGGCACCAACGTGCCCTCTTCATGCGCTTCGTCAGCGGACGGGAGCGATTGCCGCCTGGGATTCGGTTGAAGATAATGCCGGACGATGCCCCGCGTGGGGGCGCCTCCATCGCACCTCTCACGCCTCGCGTTCCACCCGTCATCGCCAACGCCACCGCCGCAGCGGGTGTGATGACGCCGCAGCCACCCCCACCGCAAACCAGCGGTGAGGGAGGTCATCACGACCACAGCAGCGGTAGGAGTGGCAGTGGAGGCAGCGGCAATAACACGCGCAACGGCACCTTCGCTCGACACAACGTCCTCCAACAACAGAGCGGGCTCAGCGGTTCCTCGCAGCCACCACCACCACCGCCGCAGCCATCGTTCTCGCCACCGCAACTCGGCTTTACGCCGCCGCCGCCGCAGTCGATGCCGCTGCCGCCGGGGCTTGCGCGCGCCATCCCACCGCCGGTACTGCAGCCCCGACAGCTCTTGTCAGGTCAACGCGGCGCCAATGCACCTTCGCTGTTGACCTCCTCGCCTCCCGCACGTCCGACACGCCACACAGTGCCTGACGCACAGCAGCTCAGCGGCAACCCCGCTCAGGATGCTGATCTCGCCACCTGTGATGACGCACGGTTGCCGCACGCTTCGACGTGCTTCTACTGGCTGCGTCTGCCTCGGTACAGCTCGGCGGCCGTCATGGCAGAGAAGCTCCTCTTCGCGATTGAGCAGTGTGTCGACATCGACGCCGATTTTCGTGTGCACGACACGGATGTGGCGGAGCAGGAAGCCGGGCCCTCGCTGGCGCGGGTCAGCAGCGATGAGGACGACCTCTTTGAGGACTTCTCTCACCTGCGGTAGACGGAGAACGCGATGCAGTGGGCGATTTTATCTATTTATTTCTGTATTTCTTTCATGTGATATACCAGCTTGTTTCATTTGCAGACAAGAACCTTGTTTTTCTGCACGATCCTCCAGTGGTGTCCGCAAGTGACACGCGGCAACGCCCCCAGACACTCTTGGGGTTGCTTTCAGCAGCCGAACCTTTCTGCGTGTGGGGGCGGCAAGAGCGGTAAAAGGAAGAACAGAAGGTAGTAGAAGTGCTGACGGTGGCGCATGTCTTTCACGCAGTGCCCAGATGTCGTCATCGGGGACCACAACGTATGCGTTTTTTTCTTTTCTTTTTTTTATTGGAAAACGAAGAGCCACCGAATCCCCTCCAAAAACACCTTTAAGAACAGAGAGCACTCTCTCTTTCTCTTCTTCTCCCACGTCCTTTCTGGAAACCGACTTCGCGCATATACATATTAATATATATATTTCAGTTCGCCTGCTTTTTCTCCTGTGGGTTTTTACCTTTGCGGTCTTCATCGAATTCGCCAAGAAAAAAAAACATATAACATCCTTCCTTGTCCTGCTCCAGTTCCGTTCGTATTATTTTTATTATTGTTGTTATCTGTCGTGCTTGCGTTGCCCTGTCGTGCGTGGTGAAGCCGCCCTTTTCCTTTTCTCTCATTCGTTTTCTCACCGGCGTATTCCTTTTTCCCCAATTACACCGCTATTCACTCAGATCATGGCGTACCCTTACGGTGCTCCCAACCCCAACGTGCCGAACGCGGGTGGCTACCCCGGCGCTGGCGGCTACGCAGTCGTTGGCACCGTCATGAACGCCAGCGTCGCCACGAGCGCCTATGGAGCACCGCATGGCGATTCGCCGCTGCCGTACAACGCGCAGTACTCCTACGGGCAGCCGCAGGCCATGCCGCAGGCCAACGGCGTCTACGCGCCGGTGACGGACATGATGAACAACAACCCCGAGCTGCTGCAGTGGTTCCGTGCGGTGGACCTGGACGGGAACGGGTCCATCAGCGTCCCCGAGCTGAACGCGTCCCTCTCGTCGGCCGGGGTGCCGTTTAGCCTGGCGACCACCGAGAAGCTGCTGCAGATGTATGACAAGGACAAGAACGGCGAGATCACGTTTAACGAGTACCAGGACCTGCACCAGTTTATCATGAGCATGAAGAACGGCTTCCGCCAGCGTGACACGACCGGCGATGGTCGACTGGACGGCAACGAGGTGCGTGCGGCCCTCACCGCCAGCGGCTATCAACTGTCCGAGCAGACCTTCCAGGCCCTCATGCGCAAGTTTGACCGTCAGCGCCGCGGCAGCCTCGGCTTCGACGACTACGTGGAACTGTCCATCTTCATCTCCAAGGTGCGCAACGTCTTCGCCTTCTACGACCGCCAGCGTACCGGCCAGGTGACGTTCAACTTCGACACCTACGTTGCGGGCAGTGTTTCCATTCTGTAAAGGAGGGAGGCGGTAAATGACGAAGGCGCGCAAAGGGGGGGGGGGGATGTGGCGTGCGCACGGAGACCATCGTGGATTGCTCTTCTTCGCTGCAGTGAAGGCGCGAGTGTCTGTGCTTATATATATATATATATATATTGATTCTTCCTCTGATGGCGTAACAGTGATGTTCTAGCGCGTAGGGTTATTTATTTTTGTTTCTTTTATCGTCTTTGCGGCTTTCTTTCTTTCTTTTCCATGATGTGTGGCCTTTGTTGTCTCTTCTCTGTTGGTGCTGTTGCCCCAGCACTTGTAGATGCGATGTGATCTCGCACGTCTGTTGGCTTGATTCATCCTGTTTCATTTCGATTTGCTTCGTGGTCAGATGTCTTTTCCCCACACTTCCACCCCTGCGGTGATTGCGATGATTGCAAGGGCACGGTGACGTCAAAAAGGTCGGAATGCGAACACACACAAATACTGCTCCCCTCCGCTGCGTTGTGAAGCGCTGGTGAGCGAAGTTTCATTGCGCTGTGCCTATGAGAAGGTGCAGATAGGCGATTTTTTTTCTTTCCTGCTTTTCGTCGGTGTGCATCGAGAAGATGGAACTCTCATATATTTGAAGACGGGACACGTCACGGAGGTTAACTGCCTTGTGGTGATGCGACGAAGCGCTGCCTTTTGATGCACATGTGGATCTCTTCTTTCTATTGCGGTTACTAACATAAAAGGATAACTTCTCTCTCCCTCTCTCGCGTTCTGTTGGCGCTCGTTCAGCTGCATTTCTCATCGTGCTAACGCCCATTTTTATTATTTGGTCAGTGGCGCATCGTGAAACGGACGTCTCTTACCGTGTGATTCTTCTGGCTGCTTTTCTTATTGGTGTTGTGTGTGCGCTGCTATCGTAGGCTACTCTTACACCATGGCCGCTGCTTTCCCCGCCCTCAGCGTCGGCTACCCAACCGCTGCCCCCGGTCCCAGCTACGGCGCACTGGGTGGCCAGTCGTGCGCTGCCCCGTCCATGCCAGTCGCGGGCGCCTACGCCCCACAGGGTTACCAGGCACCGCCCGAGCTGCACAGCTGGTTCGCGGCGGTGGACCGCGACCACAGCGGCCGCATCGACATGAACGAGCTCAACCAAGCCCTCTCCAACGCGGGCTTCCGCTTCAGCCTCGGCACAACGGAGATGCTGATGCGCCGCTACGATTTGGATCGCAGTGGCACCATCACGATGGAGGAGTTTGCCCATCTGCACGAGTTCGTCTCCTCGATGCGGGAGGGCTTCCGCCAGCGCGACACGAGCGGCGACGGTCGATTGGACGGGGCCGAGACGCGGGAGGCATTCCGCCTGAGCGGGTTCGCGTTGAGCGAGGCGACGTTTCAGGCGGTGATGCGGAAGTTCGACCGGCAGCGGCGTGGCAACCTCGGCTTTGATGACTACATTGAGCTCTCTGTCTTTATGGCGCAGACGCGGGATGCCTTCGCGTACTTCGATTTTGATCACGATGGGACAGCCACGTTCAACTTTGACACGTTCCTTGGCGCGCAGGCAACGCTGCGGTAGCTGCAGAGAAAACGTCGGTCTCTCTGTGCCTGTTTTTGCTCCCTCATTGCTTCATCATCTACTATCGATGGGTCTGACTGTGTTTTACTCTCCTCCTCCTTTTTTTTTTTCGAAAAGAAAGAGTCCGTTGCATCGGCGACGACGCCATAATTACCGTCGTTCGTGGTGGCACCTCCATCGTTTTCCTTCTTTCTTTCTTCATACGAGCTGTTGCTTCGCCTCGCGTTTGCTTCCGTTTGAGAGTGTATTTTGATATTATTATTGTTACTATGGTTGTTTCATGCTGGCCTTTTTCTTCTTCTCCTGTCACTCTTCTCACTTATTCGTTACGGCGTGCTGCTACTGTTGCCTCGTTGCGACGGAGTTGTGGTGTGGAGACAAGAGGCACGCGAAGGTGCATTTCGATCCCTCCGGGGGAATCTCGTGTCGGACTCTGGCAGACATCCAGGCGAAGTGAAAGGTGAAGAGCGAAACGGTAAAACAAAGAAAGAATACTAGCGTGTCTGTGTCACGAGGATGGCGTTGCCTCATCTTTGTTTTCAGACAATTCGAACTCTGGGGACCGTCGCAACGGTGCAACTGGATTAGAGAAGCATCACAGAGAGAATGCACCCACTCCGTGCAGACACAGCGGGCGAGTGACACCGGCCGTGCTGGTTTCTGTCAAGTATGTGGATGTGCACTTCCGCGTTGAAAGGAATATAATAATAGCAGGTTTGTCTGTTGTCCCTCTCACACACACGTATTGTTGTGGTTGTGACAAGGCACAATAGCATCCGCAAAGTGTTTTTCTCTGCTTGCTTTCGCTTTCCTCCGCTACACGAAGGTATCTCTGCTCCTCACTGTTCCTACTATACCCATTCGTGTCATCGGAGGAATGTCTCAGCGACGCTTTGCCAAAGCACATCAGCGGTTTTGTACTCGGCCAACAGCGGTGCGTCGCGCACCTGCACAGCCGGGTAATCACAGCCAAAAGAAAAAAAAGTTCCATTTCGAATTCACCAAATACAAACTAAGGAAAAGTACAAAAAAAAAGGTGAACGCCGCTTTGGAGTGTTAGGGACGCCAAGCCGCTCTGCCTCGTCTTTCTCGCTGTCTTTCTCGCCCCGTAGGCAATTAAGGGGTAGATCCATACAATAGATCGGTATAGAGCGAGGCCTTTTTGTAGTTGTTATTATCGTACGATGGCCGCCGCGTCCTCTGCGGCCTACCTCACCACACCGCCTCCCCTCTTCACAGCGGAAGGAGACGCAGCGGATGAGGCGGGGAGCTTAGACGCGTACTTTGAAGCCTGCCGAGCGTCATCGTCGTTGTCCTCCTCAGCGGCACACGAGGAGGAGGAAGAGGACGCACACGGCGAGTCGCTGCCCTCCAGCGGCGCACACCGAACTGCGTCGGCCACAGAGCTGTTCACAGCCTCAACGGGCAGTCGCGGTAGCTTCACGCACTTCTCACCTCTTCAGGGCAACGTGCCGCGGCCGCTGCTGCTGCGCCAGCGTCAAGTTGTCGGCAGATGTAGTAGCGGGAGTGGTGGAGATGTCAGCGCTCCGCTGTACGAGCCGGAAGGGCTGCCCGCCACCAGCTCGGATCTGCGACCGAGCAAGCGGAAGGGGACAGTAACACCCACAGGGTTTTCAAACACCCATAACGCAGATCTCGTCGCTCCCGCGGTGCGCGGCACAGCAGGCCAGGACTTGGCTGATCAGCTGCACCACGCGTCTCTGCCGCTCGCGTCGACGGATGCGCCGTGGCGCTCTACACACGACGGTGACGCCGCTGCTGCTGCGACCGCCAAAGTTTTTGACTTCTACCTGCCCACGCCTTCACCGGCCACAGCACCTCCCTCTAACCCGTCGCAGAGCTCCTCCAGTAAAGGAAAACGGAGGTCCACGACGACCATCACCACACGCGGGCGCAGCTCCCGCAGCCCATCCTCGCCCTGTCTTGAGAGTCGTGCGCAGCGACACGCTCGTCAGCGGGCCGTCCTCTTTGACGTGTTATGTGCGCTACGGCAGCATCCCACGGCGAGCTGCGAAGCGCTGGGCGATGGAGACGACCGCGCCGGCGCACAGGGCCGCGCTGTCCTTTCAAAGACGACGTGGAGTTTGCGGGAGTCGGTGAAGGCGGAGGCTCGCGCGCAGCATTGGCCGCCGAGCTTCGTCGGAGCTCTAGCGCAGCTGCTGGCGGTGGCGAGCGACGTGGCGGTGGCGCAGGCGCAGGCGGGTGTTTTCGAACGCGTGTGCGCGATCCGCGACGCGGCCGCAGCCAGCATTGCTGGGACAACCGGTGCGTCTGGCGACACGCAAGATGCCGCCGGTGCGCTGGAGGATGCCGGGCAGCAGGCGCTCCAGCGCCTCTCCTCCGTGCTGCGGCAACTCAGCGCTGATTTTGTGCAGTGGGTGCTGCAGGTGCAAGAGTATCTCGTGGTGGTCTGCGCAGATGCGTTTGGGGATCATCGAACCACACAGACCCCGCAGCAGGCTGCACTCTGCTCCGCGGACGCGCATACGCACTGGTACGCAAGGAGCGAGGGTGGACGTCGGATAGCGCGCAACGTGCCGGCATCCGACAGTCGTGGCAGCAACAACAGGCACGCAGAGGAAGACCAAGAAGGGGCTGCGCAGGCGGCACCAGAAAGCATTCTCCCACCGTCGCACTCGCTGCTGGACGTGGTGCTGGCCGTGCAGGAGAACGGCATTCCTCTCCAGCGGTGTCGTGTGCTGGTCGACGAGAGTGGCTGCTTCGACGGGCTGGCAGACCTGCTCGTGGAGTTGCCGTGCGCATCGACTTCCCCGCTTCACTCCTCCGTGTCCTTTGCGGCGCTGGCGGCACGTCTGCTGGACACCCTCATCATTCAAGCGAGCGCGGTCCAGGACACCTCGACGATGGACCTCTACCGTTTCTACGTGATGCTTCTCCTCCTGACCGCCTGGCCCTACGTGCTGCTCTGCACGGCTGCCATATTTGGCTTTGTGCGGAACATCGACCCGCCGGTGTGGCGCCGGCAGCTTCCCCGGCTGTTTCGCTCCTCCTTCTCGCATGTGCGGATCGGGGATGCGCACCGCCACTACCCGACGGACGTGCTGTCGCTGCTGCTGAACTGTGTGGGGTACTACAACGCCTCTGAAGTGTGCAACGCTAGGAGTGGTGGAGTGGGGGATTGCGCTGGCGGCCTGCAACCGCACTGGACGCTCGGGAAGGGCAGTCGCCACAGCAGCAGCAGCAGCAGCAACGGTGGGCGGCACAAGGACTTGGCGGAACACCATGTGGCCCTCACCGCCCTCTCCTCGGCTCGCACATTTGTTCTGCGCAGCCTGGCCAGCTTCACGCGACGCAAGAAGCAGGTGGCTCTCTCGCGCACCCCAGCTCGCCCGAGCCCCGTTGGCCAACGCAAAGCGGCGACGGCCGCGGAGGGGGGTGGGAACAGCAGCGACAGGGCAGCAGCAGCAGCGATGGCTGCCGCGCCTGCCCCCTTGCTGTCCGCGCAGCGCTGGCAAAACAAAAGCGTGAAGGAAATTCTGCATTACATTCTGTACGGCTCCGGCGGCCGTGGAGGCGGCAACGACGGCGACCAAGGGGAGGACAGCAACGGTGAGGAAGAGCAGGAGAGGGCGCACGACACCACCGCAGCCGAGAAGGGAGGTGACATCGGTGCGGGGGCGGCGGTGGTCGCCTACGCCCGGGCGAATCAAGATGTGCGGCGGCGAGTCATACAGCTCCCGCAGAACACGGCCGAGGCCCCCGTCGCCGCAGGAGGAAGAGGAGCTGCAGTGATGCTGCCGCCGCCGCCACCTCGCCTCACTCCTGATGGCGCGCGCTACTTCTATTACCCCACCACCATCCCGTTGGGCTTCGCCACCATGGCGGCGGAGGCCCTCGCGGGCCAGCAGCAGTGGCAGCAGCACCGCAGTCGAGCCGTAGCGCGTGCAGAGGTGGAGGCGTCGGCGCCATCACCACCTGCCATGCGGCGACCGCTGCGGCACTATTCGGACCACGATGAAGAAGACGGAGAGAAGGGAGAAGGCGAGACAGGCAGTGGTGGAAGCGGACCGCTGGAGCACGGTGCTCTCGCCCTGTGGACGCTGTTCCTTTCGGAGTCTGCAACGGCACCGGATGTGGTCTTTGCGAACGCGTTCGCGCCGACCGATGACGATGATGCCGACGGCGATGACCGTCGAAGTTTGAGCCGCCGTTTTGGTCAGCGCTCCTTACGCTCTGCTCGGCGCGTGCGCACGCACCAGCTGTGGATCAACATCACCATTCCGTGTGCACGTTGGGTGACCACCGCGCTTTTAATTCCGATTGGCGTGGTGGTGCAGCGACTGCAGGAGCGCCGCCTGCGTGACTTGTTTGCCATGTCCCTTCACGCCGTCTCTTCGCACGGCCCGCGTTCCATCACGGGCAGTCACGACCCAGATGGTGTGCGCAGCCGAAGAGGCAGGGACTGGAGTGGTGTGTTGTGGCAGAACAACGAGGATGAAGAGGAGGGCAGTAAGAGCCTTCCTGGAGATGTGGGTGGTGGGGTCGTCGCCCACGCCTTCACCGACCCTTTGACACCCCCCTCAACAACAGCATCAGCCGCTCCGGCGGCTGGTGGTGCTGTGCTGATGCGTCGCCGCGGCGCTCCCTCTTCTGTCCCCGCCTCCCCCACCACCGCCGCCTGCTCCTTCCTGCACGCTCTGAAGCTCCTCGTGGACGTCGCCCTCTGCCGCGATCAGGAGCGACTCGTCTTCGGCTTTCTCGAGCGGCTCTACAAGGAGCCGCGCTGGTGGACCCGCCGGTGGGTGGACGGCGGGGCGGGGGCCTTCGAGCGGGTCGGCACCGCGGCCCCGACGGTATCTGCCCTCTTTGCGGATGCACTGCGGGGGAAGCGGCTTAGCGAGCTCGTGCGTCTTGTCGTGCTGCCTGCGAGTAAGGCTCGGAAAGATCGCGGGTCGCCGTTAGCATCCAGCGGGGATCCGACGCCGCAGCAGCAACAACAACAACACCCCCAAACACCTGGTGTCCCACTCTCTCGCCACACGCCCGCCGCAGCACCAACCTCCACCATCTCCACCGATGTGCTGGACGTGTTCGCCTCCTTCCAGCTGGAATTCACGCTTCCGGGGGCCTTTGCACTTGTTCTGCAGCCGAGTGATTTGAGTGTGCACGTGCAGGCCGTCACGAACACCACGGAGCGAAGTTATCAGACTTTTTTTTGGCAGCGCCGACGTCGTCAGTACGTGGAGGAGGAGGACGCCGCCGCCCCTCCCACGGCACGGCTGGGAATTGCCTTCTCGGATGTGTGGAGTTACATCTTCGGCTATCAGTGCTCCCTCTACTACGCACAGATCACCCTGCGCGAGCACAAGAAGCAGCTGCACCAACGCGACACGGAGGACTTCCAGGTAACGCAGACGATGGGGCAGCCGCGACGCGGTGCGGCGCGTCATCTCCAGTACGTTGCACGCGGCCTGGGCAGCGCGTACTACACCCTCAACTTTGCTGTGGACACGCTGCTGAGCTTTACGCAGGCCGAGGCGATGCGCGCCGTTTACGACATCGAGCACCTGCTCCACCGAGCGCTGGGTGCCTCTCCGGACTTGCACTCCTGCATGGAGCTGTGTCACGAGCTCGATACGTTGTTGCTGCAGCTGCATTTTATTTCCTTTCCGGCCCGGCCGGCCGTCGCACTCAACGCGCGGGAGCGAGCGATGCAGTCGCCTGCCGCCGAGGCCATCCGCAGTGCCGTGCAGCGTCTTCTCGAGGTCGCCCTGGACCCATCGCGGCTGCCCGTGTCGTACATCAGCAGCAGCACCCGCAACTCCGTCGAGGCGCTCGTGGCGGCGGTGACGGCGGCCGCGGAGCATCAGAGTGCGCTGGCAACGCGCCTCCACCCTCTGCGGGTGATGCTCACGTTTAACAAATACTATGGCACGCCAGAGGAGACGTTGTCCTACCGCTTTCGCTAGCGGGGGAAAGGGTTTCCTACAAGAGAAAGAAAGGCATCAAACTTTTGGTTGTATTGAAATCAGGGTTTTTTCTGTTTTCACGGTAGAGGAGTCGAATGCGCTGTTGGGGAAAGCGGCGCCAACTTTTATCGTCGACATCCATTTGGTGTGTGTGTGTGTGTGTGTGAAGTGGGCGGGGGCCGTTGTGTATGCGCTCTCCACTTTACCCTGTCCAACGTGGGTTCAGAACAGCTCTAGCACCATCGTGGCGCTTCACTCTTATCTGCTGTGCAGTTGAAATATACTCTTGCTCTCTCTCTCCTCTCTCTCTCTCTCACCCACACACACTCCTTTCTTTTTTTTCTTTGGTTCCTCTTTGCGGTTGCGAGAGGATCAGCTCTTGTCAAGCCCTACCTGTTTGCCTTCTGCGTGAGCCGGCGCAGCTGATACACGCAACAGCAGCCACAATAGGGGTAAGCCTACTGCATCGCCTCGTATCTTAAGCACACAAACGGACGAGATGTCGACCCCCGTCCTCACCGAGGAGGAGTTGAACTACTACGCCTCCCTCGACTTGGCAGATCCGGATGACGCGGCGCTGCGTACCTTTCTTCACGATGCACGGCCCTCCCACTCCCCACACGAGGAGCAACGCGCCGCCAAGCCTTCAGCGTCGTCCTCGTCTTCTTCGCTCGCTGCCTCGCCAGACGCCGCGCGTCGGCGGCGGCTTTCCTCGTCGGTGGTGACGTGCAGCGCAGCGGCCCGCCCGCAGCCCTCATCTGCCACTGCCGCCGCTGCAGATACTGCGACGACCGGAGTACGCGCACCGAGGGGCAGCCGTTACGGTGTGACGGATGTGCTGGACAAGTCAGACCTGGTGGGCGGTGTGGCGGGGATGGTCGATGCGGCACTGCAGACCCGCATAGTCGAACTGCCGGGGCGGCAGCTGACCTCCCTCGCGTCGATCCAGTGCTTCCTCAACGCCACGCACCTCTACCTGCAGCACAACGACATACGCAGCGTGGAGGGGCTGGAGATGCTCTCGCGGCTGCAGGTGCTGGTGGTGCACCACAACGCCATCACTTCCGCCGCGCCGCTGCGCCATCTCGACCGACTCTTCTACCTCGACCTCGGCCACAACAAACTGGACGCGCTGTCGACGCTGCTGGCCACGGAGCTGCCGTGCGGAAGTCTCCACTACCTGAACCTGACGGGCAACCCCTGCTGCCGGGGCGGGGCTGCGCATGACGCCTATGTGACTACCGTGTGCGCCGCGTGTCCGGCGCTGGCGTGCTTGGATGACGTGCCGCTGCCGCCCGACGCAGAGGACGAGACAAGTGACGAGGCAACCCGGACAGAAGGAGGAGAACAAGCGGAAGGTGTGGGGACGGAGGAGGAGGAGAGGAAGGGCAACGGCGTGGCAGCGCCCACCGAACCGGGTAGAGACACCAGCGCCGGCAGCAGCGGTGGCGGTCGTCGCCGCGTGAAGGAAATAGTGGAGGCGGTGCGGGCCGCCACGCAGGCGGAGCACCATCCCCGCAAAAGCGAACTTCACTCCGCACCCGATCCCACCGCCTCCAACGCTCCCATCAACGACGGGGACGTCACGGATAACGGTACTGTGGTACCGCCGACGTCCTCAGAGTACGCCACGCCACTCGAGCTAGAGGAGGAGCGCCTGCTGCGGCAGCTGCTGCGCCGTTCTTCGAACGCCAACGCAGGCGTCTCGACAAGGGACAACGACGAAGAGGGAGGAGAAGAGGAAGGCCCTGCTGTGGTTGCCGCACCGAGTGACAGCCTCGACGCACTTCAGCTCTTTCAGGACCTGCGGTACACGCAGGAGGTGCGGCAGGCGCGACATCAGCGGGACATCGCCGCATATTGGGACGATGTAAGTCGTGTTTTGCAGACGGCCAAGGGCCTTCAGCAGGATCGCCGTCGGCGCCTGCACGAGCGTTTGCAAGAAGACACGCCGTTTTATACGGAGACGCTGCAGCTGCTGCAGAGCGAGTCCTACACGAAGGATCTCCGTTGTTACCGGGAAGCCGCGGGATCACCTCACTGGAGCTGTCAGCAACCGCAGCAGCAGCAGCCACAGCAGCCCTCTGTGCCTGTGGCCCGTGCCTCCACCTCTCCAGCCACTGCCGCAACGACCGCGTCCAACGCGACATCTGCCAAGAGCAGCAGGAGCAGCTTGCCGAAGAAAAACGAGGAGGGTCCAACGCACGTGCCGAAGCCTCCGCCACCACGACGCTGATGCCCCTCCCCCCATATGCACACACCTTCGAGTGCTGTGGCGAAGACGATGTAAACGAAAAAATAATGGCGTTCTCTTGCTGCGGTTTTCTTTTCTTTTAGTTTCGCTGTTACACCACCGCTGCAGCTCCGATCGTCAACGAGCACAAACCGGAGTTAATGAGACTCTCTTCGCCAGTTGATAAGCTCGACCGATGAATTCCTGCGGCGCGCCGGATCCTGCTGCCACCAATCGCCTGTTGACCGCCGATGTTTTTTTTTTGGGGGGGTTGTTCTTAGGCGCGCGATGCACGCATGAAATTTCCCCCTCTCCTTTCTTTCTTTTATTCTCCGTCCTCCCTTCTCTCTTCACGGGCCCGAACCTTTCACGCTGGACAGCCGTAGAGCCCATCTCCTCTTTTGTCGCAAAGACACCTCTTCAACAGCAACAAAAACAACAAAAAAAGTGTCTCTTCAAGTAACCATCACCATGCAGCAGTGGCAGCTTCCCAAGGGCGGCGCGGGCGTGGCCAGCATGACGCTGCACAAGGACATCTCCATCCCCACCCCCAGCGGATCGCAGATGGTGGTGAAGATGAAGGCGCTCTCGTTAAACTACCGCGATTCTTTCGTCGCTGAGACCAACTTCATGCCGGACACGCTGGACAACGTCGTTCCCATCTCGGACGGCTCGGGCGAGGTGACCGCGGTGGGACCGGCGTGCACCCGCTTCCAGGTCGGTGACCGCGTCGCCTTCGTTCTCTGCCCCGGCAACTACGAGGGAGACCAGATTGAGGGGACGGGCTTGCAGCCCTGCATCGGTGGCAGCCGACAGGGCGTTGCGGCGGAGTACGTGCTGGCTGAGTCCGGGAAGGAGCCGGGTGTGTGACGGGCCGACGCATCACAGAGAGCGAACACCAGTAACACAGCGAATAACGAAGAGGAGACGAGAAGGGGGGAGGGGGAGGGCCGTTGTCGTTACACCGTCACCACAATCTTGCCCGAGTGCTTCTGGCTCTTCAGGTACGCGTACGCCTCCTTCAGCTGCGGCAGCGTGAAGCGCTTGTCGTCGAGAATGGGGTGCACCTCCTTGACGGCCATCAGCTGCAGCATGTCCTCGAAGTCGCGGCGCGGGCCAACGTGCACACCCACAATGTGCAAGCGCTTCATCAGCACTTCGTGCAACGAGAACGGGTCCTTCGGTGTACCGTCCAGGTGGCCCACCACGGAGATGACACCGCGGCGGCGCGTGGCGATGAGGGACTCGTTGATGGAGGACATCCCCACCACCTCCACTACCACGTCCACGCCACGGCCGGCCGGCGTCAGCGCACGCACCGCCTCACCCCAGTGCGGGTTCTCGCGGTAGTTCACCCAGTCGCCGGGATGCACCACGCCGAGGCGCAGCAGCTCCGTCATCTTCGCCGCGCTCGACGACAGCGCGATCACGCGGCACCCGGCGGCGTGCGCCAGCTGTGCGGCGAGGGAGCTCACACCGCCGGTGCCCTGCACCAGCACGATGCTGCCAGGCACCAGGCGCCGCTCGCCGCTGTTCAACGCATTCCACGCCGTCACCCCGGCGCAGGGCAGGGCGGCGGCCTCCTCGTACGTCATGTAGTCGGGGATGCGCACCGCATCGGCCGTCGCAGCGGACACCGCTCGTACGCGAACCGGACGAGGCGTGCACTCAAAAGTGCCAGAGGAAGTGCGGCGCCTACTGCATTGAAAACAGAAACCTTCGCGGCACCTATTATTATTGTTATTATCATTTTTATTTCTTTCTCTCTTCTCACGCGAGTGTGTGTGTCTGTGTGTGTGTATATGCATGGGTGTTGGTTTGCACCTGCGCGACGCTCTTTGCCGAGCTGTGTCGTGCCTCCGCTGTGGATCCGTTGTCTGCCCAGCTTCCTAGTTCGACCTGCCGCGACCGGCTCTGTTCGGCGCCGCTGCATCTGCAAAGAAAAGCAACGCTTCCCACAGTGATCACCGTCATTCCTATTATTATTATTATTGCTTTCTTTTGTTCTCTTTCATGATTGGAGGTGGTGGACGTTAATAGTATTATTATTAATTTGTTGAATCGGTATGAAAGCGTCTCACCAGTCTGTTTTCTTTCTTTCCCTCCTCGTCGCCACCTCCCATATCCCCCATCCTGCCATGTGTTTCTCCTGTGGACAAGTAAGATCTAAAACTGCCGTCACGGCTCCTCCTCAACGTGTGTGTGTGCGTGTTTATGTGGTAAGAACAACATGCTGAAGTATGTGGACCGCAGTCGTCGCCTTTATCGCTGTGTGATTCGCCGATACGTTCTCAGCAGCAACCTTCTGCCACTTCCCTGCCTCTACCCCGCTCCTCCTCTTCGTCTCTCTGTTCTTCTTCTCTCTGTGTCCGTGCGCTGCGTGCCACCGCAAGACTTTCTTGTGCGCGTTTTACGGCTCTCTTTCTCTCTCCCTTTCCTTCCTTCGCTTCTCTCCGTCGACGAAAACCATGCAGCAGTGGCAGCTTCCCAAGGGCGGCGCGGGCGTGGCCACCATGACGCTGCACAAGGACATCTCCATCCCCACCCCCAGCGGATCGCAGATGGTGGTGAAGATGAAGGCGGTCTCACTGAACCACCGCGACCTCTACATCGCCGAGACCAACTTCATGCCGGGCACGCTGGACAACGTAATCCCGCTCTCGGACGGCTCGGGCGAGGTGACCGCGGTGGGACCGGCGTGCACCCGCTTCCAGGTCGGTGACCGTGTTGCGCTCACCTTCAGCCTCAAATATTTGGAGGGCGATCAGATGGAGGGAGCTGGTCTTAACGAGTGTCGCGGCGGCACTTGCCAGGGCGTTGCGGTGGAGTACGTGCTGACCGATGACATGAAGGAGCCGGGTGTGTGACGGGCCGACGCATCACAGAGAGCGAACACCAGTAACACAGCGAATAACGAAGAGGAGACGAGAAGGGGGGAGGGGGAGGGCCGTTGTCGTTACACCGTCACCACAATCTTGCCCGAGTGCTTCTGGCTCTTCAGGTACGCGTACGCCTCCTTCAGCTGCGGCAGCGTGAAGCGCTTGTCGTCGAGAATGGGGTGCACCTCCTTGACGGCCATCAGCTGCAGCATGTCCTCGAAGTCGCGGCGCGGGCCAACGTGCACACCCACAATGTGCAAGCGCTTCATCAGCACTTCGTGCAACGAGAACGGGTCCTTCGGTGTACCGTCCAGGTGGCCCACCACGGAGATGACACCGCGGCGGCGCGTGGCGATGAGGGACTCGTTGATGGAGGACATCCCCACCACCTCCACTACCACGTCCACGCCACGGCCGGCCGGCGTCAGCGCACGCACCGCCTCACCCCAGTGCGGGTTCTCGCGGTAGTTCACCCAGTCGCCGGGATGCACCACGCCGAGGCGCAGCAGCTCCGTCATCTTCGCCGCGCTCGACGACAGCGCGATCACGCGGCACCCGGCGGCGTGCGCCAGCTGTGCGGCGAGGGAGCTCACACCGCCGGTGCCCTGCACCAGCACGATGCTGCCAGGCACCAGGCGCCGCTCGCCGCTGTTCAACGCATTCCACGCCGTCACCCCGGCGCAGGGCAGGGCGGCGGCCTCCTCGTACGTCATGTAGTCGGGGATGCGCACCGCATCGACCGTACTACCACGCCCTCTCTGACACCAAACTGTCTATTTTCTTCCCTGAGAACCCCCAAGAGGAGAAAAATGCTTCACTCACGTGGCACGTGGTGTCGCTGCGCGGGTGTGCGGTGGAGGTCTTAGCCTTTTATTCTATTCTCCTGTTTTCTTCTCGTTGATGCTGCTTCTACACTATTATTCCTACTATTATCGATTGCATCATCGACATGGTTTTCTTTTGTTTGCTCTCTGAAAGATACATGCTCCTGTTTATTATTATTGTTACTGTTCTCCGTTATTTCTTTCCATATTTGTTTATATAAATGCTATCGGGTATTTCTTTTACACTGCCCTTTTGCGGTACTTTCCTTTGCCATCACTGAAGCAGGGTTTGTTTCATGGTTTCTCACGCCATCAGTCCCGTGATCGTGGTGTTCCGTGTGTACTGGCCGGCTGTTGGTTGTGATGGGCATTTGCGTGTTCCCCTCCACCCTGCGCTATTTGGAGAAGCCAACGCACTGCATCAGCGACGACACACAGAGAGAAGATAAAAGTCAGTATGTTTTTTTTTCTTTTGGAGAGGGCGGGCGCATCAACGCGTTCCACCCGTCACCCTCCACCTCCCACCTTCCGTTCTCCGTGTTTGGAAGCGAGAAGAAGGCGTATCCTTTCTCCCCCTATTATTCCCACTATTATTCCCACTATCATTCCTATTATTATTGACACGAGGTCGACGAAAGAAAGAGAAAAAACAATAGAAGTAACGTAGTGACGCGGCGAGCGGCTTTTCATTGAATTTGGCATCTGCGCTGAGGCTCTCACGTAATACGGAGATAAGCCTTTCCTTTGCGACGTTGGCACCGGGAACGCTATCGTAGAATGCCAGTGTTTGCTAGACGAAGCATCCTGTTCACTGCACAAGTCGAAACGGTGCGTTGGCCTTTATGTATTTGTTTTTTTTTTAGCAGCAGCCTCCTCTTTCTTCCCATATGCGCACCTCTCCCCTCTCTCTTCTCCTTCTCCCTATTCATCTCTCTCTCTCTCTCTATAGATATATATATCGGTATCCTTTGTTTTCTTCCCATTGCTCTCTTATTTGGCAGGTCACCACTCGATGTCAGCGCTCGTGTCGCGTGTGCTGGCGGACGCGGAAGGCGACGTGCGGCGGCGCTTCTCCCGCACATCAGAAACCGTCTCCTCGGCGCCGTCCGCACCGCTGTCGCTGCTTTCGCCGGAAGACTGGACAGCGGTACTGCGTCCACTCGCGCCAGACACACCGTGCGACCCAGATGCCGGTCTGGAGGAGTTGGTCCGCTACGTGCAGCTGCGCTGTGCGGAGGTGCCGATGCGGCTGCAGATGGAGGCATTGCAGACGCGCCGCTACGAACACCTGCTGCGTCAGCACACACGGGAGCTGGTGACACTCAGCGAGTACGTGACACTCGTGGCGCGCGCACCGCCCACGTTCGCCGCTGCACCGCGTGGTGGTGGTGGTACCACGGCCGATGCGTCGTCGTCGCTGGCGGACAGCGCGGCCCTCCCGAGTGACCTTCGCGTGTTGCTGGACCCCGAAGAAGTGCAGCACCGGCTGGAGCGTGCGGCGGAGCGCATTAGTAAGTTGGAGATGATGCTGCGACACGACGCCGCGGCAAAGGTGCAGTGCTGCCAGCGCATGGTGCTGCTGAGTGAGTACATGCGTGCATTGCTTCGTCGTGTACGGCGTGAGGTTGGCGAAGGAGTCGTGGTGGGCAGCAAACGCGCCCGGTCAGAGGAAGGAAAAAGCTAGTGCGAAGCCCTGGAGATTGGGGGAATTGTTTCTCTGCGGCGAGCACCCGGTTCCTTTTTTCCCCCTACTCGTGTTGCAACGCACTTCGAATGCGATTACCTGCGACCCTCTGTATATTAAAACCTGAGATGCTGCTTGTTGGTTTCTGTTGTGTTGCGCTATAGTCCACCCCCCTTCAGCGAGGACAACGTATCATGAGAAAGAGAGGAGGGGGAGGAAGGAAATAGAACCTAAAGCTGAAATGCTGTCCATGATGCGGACCAAAGACTCACCTTTGAAAAAGCAAGTGGAAATGCCAACTGAAGGCCGCAAACGACATCTCCATTGTGTGGTGGTGTAGAGGGCTGTCTCTTTGTCGTTGCCGTTTTTCTTTATTTCTTCCGGCGTCATCGCTTGCCCGTGCACGTACGCAGACACTCATCACTATGAAGTGCGGGTGCTCTTCATTTAAACCGAAAAAGAATGCGGTTCTTTCCTGCCCCACTTCCTCTCCCCTTCTTGTTCTTCCTTATTACTATTATTATTCTTATTTCACACCTGCCTTTTCTTGATGCTCTCTCATCACGCACGCGCAAACGGGAAAAAAAAACACAAACACAAAAGTCCTTCCGTTAACAATAAACCAAGAGTTGTAAAGACACACACACCTTTTTTTTTTCGGACTAAATCTAATTTCTCGAAATCGATCAACTCCGCCTATTTTCTTCTTGTTATTATTTACTTCTACTATTTCCCCCCTCTTCGCTCCACTGTACCACGTCTGTGTGCTTTTCTCTGTGTGTGTGAAGCCGAAGAAAGGAAGAAAGAAAAGAGAAGGCAGGTGTTTGTGCCACCACGCTCGCCTTCTTCTGCCACCGCTGTTCGTGCCATCGGAGACGCCTCATTTTGGGCAACTCGCTGTTTCTTTTTCTTTCCCCCCCCCCCCTATTTCTCCGACTGTTTCTCTACTGTCACTGAGAGCGCTATTATTAATTTGTTTATCTATTTGCGTGGCTACAGTCTGGATAAAGCAGTATATATTAAGCGGCAGCCCTCAGCGAGAGAAGTAAAACACGCAGTAGAAAAGACATCGCCTTGCTTGCCTCAATTTTTTTTAACAAAAAAGAAGGTTCTTGCCTTTACGCAGCGGCTGAAAGCGTCGTCCGCTACTCTGCACGCCCCATCTCGTTCCCTGTAAGCACTACGCGGAAACATTCTCTCGATCCCTTTTTTTTCTACTTATTACTCATTTCTTCTGCAGGTATTTTTTTCTTTGCTGTTCAGCGCACGTCGTCAATCATGAGCAGCCAGGAAGACGTGCCAAAGAAGAAGCCGGCCTCGACTGAGCCGGTGGAGGGCAGCGCAGGTTACATGTACGATGGCGAGGAGTCCAGCCCCATGTCGAAGGGCATGCGCCGCATGATGGCTGGCGAAGCGGATGCCGCTGCAGGCGATCGGGCGTGCAACGTCATTGCGGTCTTTCTGCTCTTCGCCGTGCTCATCACCTCGATCATCAGCATCGCCGCCGGTGCCTGCTGCCTCGCCTCGCTCTCCGGCAAGGCTTTCCACCACTTCCCGTTCTTTTTCGTCTTCGGCGTCGTCCCTGTCGTCCTCGGCTGCGTCTGCTTTGTGCTGACGCTGTTCATCATCGTCTTCATCTCTGCCTGTGCGATGGGCTTGCCGAACTACGGCATGTGCTGCTACGGCACGTCGCGCCGCCGCGGTGCGCTGCGTGTGTGCCTGCTCGGTGTTTTCCCGTTCATTGTCTTTCTCGTGCTGCTCGCCATGTGCATCCTCGGCTTCACCTTCTACAGTCTCGGTCAGCAGATTCCGCCGCTGGACAAGGACTACGCGAAGATCGACGGTCTGTCCGGCCCCATTACGATCGTGCGCGATCAGAACGGTCTCACGCATGTGAAGGCCAGCAGCCGCCGTGACGCCTACGTCGGCCAGGGCTTTGCGGAAGCGCAAGATCGTCTTTTCCAGCTCGAGTTCCACCGCCTGGTCGGCAAGGGTGAGCTCTCCTCCACCGTCGGCAACGAGGGTGTCTCGACCGATATCTCGATCCGCACGCTGAACCTCCGCGCCGCGGCGCAGGCGATGTGCAACGCGACGAACCCGAAGGACCTGGACCACTTCCAGGCGTTTGCGGACGGCGTGAACCTCTACCTGAAGCACGTGTCGAAGCGCCCCGTCGAGTTCTTCTTCATGAGCACGAAGCCGCTCTTCTTCCACGACCCCGAGCCGTTCAGCGCCTTCGACCTCTGCCTCACCGCTCGCCTCTTCCAGTGGCAGATGAGCTCGAACATCGACGTCGAGGGCCTGCGCTTCTCCATCTGGGCCGCCACCAACCGCACCTACGATGAGACAGCGGAGATGTTCCCCGACTTCACGAACCAGCCGAACACGATTCTGACGCAGGCGCAGATGCTGAAGCTGACGACGCCGCTCTGGAACACGTCGGACAGCCCCGTCACGACCGACGCCGAGATCGCCGCAGCCCAGAAGCTCTTCCTGAAGCAGGCGCAGGCGTTGCAGGGTTACAACGTTGTGGCGGAGCGCGCCACCTACGACTACGTCATGTCCGTCTTGCGCGCGCAGCTGCAGGCCAAGGCGAAGGCCAAGGCAGGCGGCAGCGCCAGCAAGAGCCTCGCCGCTACGAACCTCGGCACCTTCTACCTGAAGGCGGACGATGGTACCATGCGCTCCTACCTCCGCGACATGGCGGACCGCACCGTGTTTGCCTACAAGTTTGTGCAGGCGAGTAACGCCTGGGCGGCGCGTGACGCGAGCGGCAATGCCATGGCCGCCTCCGACCCGCATCTCACCATCAACCACCCCTCGATCTGGTACTACGTCCACCTGAGCTTCCCGACGGACGAGGGGGTCCCCTACGACACCGCCGGCGTTGGTCTGATCGGTCTGCCGGGAGCGCACATCGCCCGCACCACGTACCTCTCCTGGGGCATCACGATGAGCATGACCGACCTGCAGGACCTCTTCGTCTTCCCGCCGGCGATGCTGTCGGGTCTGCCGGAGAACACGTACATGTACAACGGCAAGCAGCGCGTCTACGTGGACCGCCTGGAGCGCATCACGGTGAAGGGCAAGAAGGATATCGTCGTGCACGCGCAGGACACCATTCTCGGCCCGATCGTGTCGGACATGCTGGGCATGCCGGCGATGCTGAAGGTGGCGATGTTCGCCGTCCCGCTGCGTCACGATGACAACGAGTCCATCGGCGCCCTCATGAGTCTCTCCGACCCAGCCGTGGACACCGCCGAGAAGCTGATGACGGCCGTCATGAAGCTGCGCGCCCCGGGGTTTTCCATTCCCATCGCGGACGTGACGGGCAACCTCGCCTACGCCGTGACCGGCCAGCACCCGCTCCGCAACGCCGGCCACACCGGCCTCTTCCCCACGCTCGCCCTCGACGGACCCGACCTGCTGTGCCGCATCATCATGACCGTCAGCGGGTCGCCGGTGCCCGATGCCGCGGCTTGCGACCTGGCGACCGTGCTGGCGGCGATGGCAGCCAGCGGCACGACGATCGACCCCTCGAGCATCAACCTGACCCTCCTCATGCCCCTCATCCAGCGACGCCTGCAGACCTCGACGTGGTCCACCTACGTCCCGGAGACGGCGGCGGAGGCCTTCAAGAGCGTGCCAGAGCCGCTGATCCCTCACGTCAGCCTGCCATTCGACGGCACCGCGGCGAACATCTCGTGCGCGAACCAGAAGATCACCCCCGATGGCTACCCCTACCTCCTCGGTGCCGACTTCGCCTGGCCGTACCGCGGGGCCCGCATTCAGGAGCTGCTGGTGGCGAATAAAGAAAAACTCTCGACGCAGCAGCTGCACATGGCGATTCAGCTCGACAAGCGCAGCAACATCTGGGCCGTTGATTTTCGCCCGATTGTCGCGAGCGACGCCTTCAAGGCTGCCATCGCCGACGACGCCACCGCGACGAACTGGGCGAGGCGGCTGCTCGCGTGGGACTCCCTCGCGACCATCGGCAGCGTCGAGACGTCCTTCTTCTGGCGGTGGCTGCAGCGCATGTCCATCTTGCCTCGCGATGTGATTGCCGCAACGGGCTCGCAGCACTGGACGCCGGAGCGGCGCTATCTCACGCGCATGCTGACCGCCCCGTCTGCGCGCATGAAGGCGGAGTGTGCGGACTACATGCAGAACTGGAAGAGCACGCAGCCCTGCATCGACTTCGCCGTGGCGATGTTCAAGGCCCAGGCGAAGGACGCCGGCACGGGCTACAAGGAGCAGTGGGGCAAGGACCTCAACCGCATGCACGGCCTGCACGAGATGCTGGCGAAGAAGTTCGTGCACCCCGTCTTCCAGCGTGAGATCACGAAGGCCGGCGACGTCAGCTCCGTCGACGTCTCGCACAACTCGATCGACGGGGCGATGGAGTCGACGCAGGCGGCCAGCATGCGTCAGCTGTACGACATGTGGAACGCGACGCACCACATGTACTTCCAGCTCCCGGGTGGCCAGAGTGGCAACCCGTACTCGAAGCTCTACGACAACCTCCTGCACATCTACGAGAAGGAGGAGTACCTGCACGTGCCGTGCGACCACACCAGCTACGGCAGCATCGATGTTCTGCACAAGCAGATGCTCAGCCAGTAATCGTGCGTGTATATTTATTTTCTCTCCTTTCGTTTCTTTCCTTCTTTCTTTCGACTCCTTGGCTAACGATACTTTTTTTTTTCTCCTTCTTCTTCCCTACAGATGGAATGCGAACGCAGACTCACGCGTTTCTCTTTATTCAGTGAGACATTAATCTAAATGGTACGGTAATTGTTCTTTTCTTTTCACCTTTCTCCTTTATCCTTTTTCTTGCGGAAAGCGAGACAAACCCGCGCACTGCGTGACCGTTTGCTTAAAGGTAACCCTGTCTCTGGTAAATTCAGTTTCAACGTCCTCTTCTCTGTCTTCGCCTTTTTTTTTGTTTTTATTTTGATTTCTTTTCTTTTTCGTTTAGCGGGAGAGGTGGACGGGACATGAGCAGGTGAGCATCCCTCACCTCTTCTGCTCCAAGGTCGACGATGCACGCAGTCTGCACTTCCAGCTTTCCAGTGTGCGCTGACGCAGTAGGTGTATGAATGTCGGTGTACGTTGCGAGATGCTGTGTGGACGTCACAGCTGATGTGTGCGTCAATCGCGAATCTCTTCTCTCCCCGTTCGTGTTTATGTGTGTGTGTGTGTCGCCGCTGCTGCTGCTGCTCTTACTGATTTCACGTATGCGCAGCGTAGCGCGAGTCTCTTTTCTTTCTTCTTTCGCCTCAACAGCGGCAAGGATTTTTTAAACTAATCTAACAATAAAAGGCGTGTGCGTTTTACGCGTATATATGTCACTGACTTGAGCATGAAAGGCGTTCGCAGGGCGTGTCTTTTGTCTTTGCAATTCCGATTTTTTTCTTCTCTTTTTTATCTAATTCATTTTTCGTTTCGACGTTTGATCTCCACACTCTGTTAACGTGTGCTGGCAAAGAGATATAAAGATATATAGTGGGGCGTGGGTGTGCAGTACGTGGCTCCACAGTCCGCTCGCACCCACAAGGAACGTGAGCGGGGCTACGACGAGGTGATTCTCGCTCTCGCAACCTCCCACCCCCCTCCCCTTCTTTCTCGTGCTTCTGTTTGTTTACCTTTCTTGTTTTTTGTCGTTTCTTCTTCTTTCCGCTTTGTGCGGTTAACTAACCCCTTTCTCTTTTCTATTTTGCTGTCGTCTGCTAATTTTGAATTTTTCTTTTTTTAATTCTTTTTTCTTATTTTCCCCTGCTCCGTTTTCCGCGTACGGCCAACTCGTCCATCTCGTGGTGCAATTCATACCCTTTTTGCGCTTCGGACACCCCCTTTTCCGAACGTGCTTCGTCCGGCGAACGAGGTTGCTCGTGCTTGCTCGCGTGTGGCTCACAACTGGGTGAACGTTTCCTTTACCCTTATACATATATAGCGAGTAGAACGCAGCTGTTAAAGTTATCTTATTATCTTTATTACCTTTTACTTCCTTCTTTTCTTTGTTTTCCCTTCGTGGCTATTGTAGATACCTGTTTAGCCTCCTCCCTGAGTATCTCTTTATTTCTGGTTTTCCTGTTTTTCTCTTTCGGCGATTGGTCAGGCGAAGCGGTCACACGATGACCCGCTTCTCCTTCCCTTTCGCCCCCGCGCTCCTTCTGTACGCAGCTGAACGAAATGGGTTGTATCTCACTTCACTTCTTTCTTTTTTCAAGTCAGAAAGGGAAGGAAGAGGAAATCGATGGGAAGGGTGTTTCCTCTGCACGGAAATTCTGTAGCAGCCTCCCTGTTCCCCCGCTTTCTCACCCTCGGAGGAGGAGGCGGGGGGGGGGGGGTCGAGGGATCGACTCGATTGTTTTTGCTCTCACGCGAGCGCTCTCCCCTACTCTCGTATAACGCACTGTACAGTTTTTTCCTCGATACCTTTTTTTATTGTTGTTCTCTTCCCTCCCTCCCTCCTTTTCTTCCGAGGGGGGGGGGAATTGTTGTTGCTACCGACGAGTAGGCCGTTCCCACGCAGGTGCTCGCTACTCTCTTCCCTTCCACGCTTGATTTTGGGTTTTTTGGAGGGGGAGAACAACAACAACAACAACAGCAAAGAAACGGAAATAGGTGCATGTTTCTTTCCCCTGCCTTCTCGTTCTTTGCTTCCTTATCGGTGCTTCGTTCCGTTAGTTTCGACACCTCAGCGGGTATTACCTTTCCCTCTTATCTTTTCTGTTCCTCGTTTCACTCACGCGTAAGAACCGTGCAGATGAAGAAGGGGGCGGAGGGCACACGATGCCCCTCTGCCTGGCTTCATTAGTTGTTTCACCTCGTCCTATAGTTTTATCTTCTTTTTTTTTCTGCTCCCTCTTCGCACCTTTCCCTTCCCTTCCTTTCTTCTCTCTTTCTCTCTCGATATACGTGTATGTGTATGTACGTGTGTCAGCAGCCCTCCCGCCTCTTTTCTTCTCCGATCGTTTTCGCGGTCTCGGATGGGCGATGCGGAGGGGGGGGGGGAATCTTTCTGTACTCGCCCTCCCTGCCCGCGCAGTGGCGTTAGAGCTGAGAGATACGTGTTGAGAGAGAGAAAGAAACGAAGAAATCGAAAGGGTACAGGAGATGAACGAAGGCGGACCGCCCAATCCGTGTTTGCGTGTCTTCCCTCACAGATGAGCGACGCTGCTGTCCATTTACTGTTGTGATCACGCGGGACCTCGTGTGGAGAGACGCAGCAACGATTACGGCAAAGAGTCTGGAGCTCGTCAACACGACTTGTCTCTCGCTTACTTTATCTTTTTCTTCTTCTTCTTTTTTTTTGCGGTTTTCAATCATATAGTTCCTGCCTCCTACGCGACGTGCTTCTCTTCTTCTTCTCCCCTCTCTTCTGCACGTGTGCGTGCTCAGACGGCACTCCCTGCATCGACACTGCAGTCGCAGCTGCAGCAGCAGCAGCCAAATGAAGAACGAAAACAAATAAAAAACCGAATTGGTGCGCTTGAAGGGAAGGACGTCAGCACTCGTTTCGATACACGCTTTGGTGCTCGTTGCATCGCTCCTATTTCTCCCAACTCGCTCGGGAGCTTGTTGATTTTTTCTTCTGGGGTGAGGGGACAAATCAGGTCCCTTCTCTTTGTACGTTTCTGAACGCCTATTAGTACTACTACTACTATTATTATTCCGATCCTGCACTTGCTGTCTTCTCGCGTCAGTTCTTTTTGTTTGTTTGTTTAAAGAGGGGATTATTCAGCACATCAGCGTGAGTTTTTGTTTTCTTGTTTTGGCTGATGCCGCGCTTACTCTGCCGCGCCTTCACCATTCGTGGGGTGCGTACAGCTTTCTTCCCGACGTTTTAAATCCAACGCCGCCCTCTATTTTTCGTTCTTCTTCGGCTTACTGATTCTTATTTTAGTTTTAAGAACAAAGTAAAAGAAAAAATGGGGGAGGAAAGGAGAAGAGCGTGTCGCGTTATGACGTGTCAATTACTTGTTTTGTTTTGACTGTACCGTTGAAAAAAGGGGGCTTTCTCTCGTTTTTTTTTCTGTTTTCATGGTTTTCTTATTCTTCTTCTTCCGTGTCTCCGGCGTATTTTTGTTGTTGACGTCTCTCGCCGTTACCACCGTGATTGCTTCCCGCCCTCTCCTACGGCGGACGGGAGCCGTAACGCTTCTCTCGCTCTCTCTTACTCATTTTCCTATTACTGTTGCTGTGTGTTTTTGTTTTGTTTTGTTTCCCTCGAACACATTCTACTTCAACAAGCCAGAAAAGGGAATATATCTATATATTCCCCGTACGCGTGTTCCCTGTGTTGAAGGCGTGCGGCTGTTCACTATATATATATAAGAAAACCGATGCTTTGACACGCTACGACATGTAAAGTACCAAACGCAGAACGTTCCCTTTCACGCGTGTTCAACAAGAAAAGAAAAGAAAAAGAGTGCGGTTTTCCTTCTGCCAAATAAAATCTTTAAAACGAGGTGTCCGCGGTCTATTATTAGGCATGGAAACGGTCAGTCCTCTTTATTATTATTAGCATTATTATTCATTTGTTCTCCACCTCCTCCGCATCTCCCGCGACGTGGTGTTTTTTTTTTTAGGGATCCTTTCAACACAACAAGAAAAACAGAGGTAAGCATTCACGAGTTTTTAGTAATGAAAAGAAACGGTGTCGTACGCAAGAGCAGCTGACGCGCCGTCTCCAATTCTACGTGCCAGGAACAGGAAAGCAAGAACAGCACCGTCCTTTTCTGCTGTTTACTGCACCCTTCATGGAACCCAGTTCGGTCCCCCGCCCCCACCTCCACCAACTGCACCTGTGTGGCTGCCAGCTGAAGTTAACCTCCCCTGCCGCCTCCGCCCAGTAATGGACTTGATCGCCACCTTTGCTCGCGCTTCTTTCCTTTCTTCTCCTTCTCCTTCATGTATTGCATCCACATATGTTTACTACGCCTACCGCGTATCGTATTGCAACAACAATCGTAATAGCCATTCTCGGCGCTTGTGCTTTGTTCTTCACTACTGGGCGCGGTTCTCCCGGTAAGAGCCACGAAAACGAATCTCAACCGAAAGCATCTTCCTTTTAGTACTCTTCTCTCTCTCTTTTATTTTCTTTACTTTTTGTTTTTCCCGTTGAACAGAAAATCCAAACGCATCAAAACTACAGCTTCCTCTTCTTCTTCAAAAGCTATTCAACCACCTTTTCTGCTCCGAGAACAGTCGGGTGTGGGTGGGTGTTTCGCATTCAGGTTGTGAGTGCTTTTTCTTATTCTTCTTTTTGTTCTTGGTAATATTCTTTTTCTTTTTTATTTTAACTGCACTTTTCGGCTGCTCGTCATTCTTAAACGGGGCATTGCTTTAAAACTAACCGTAACCTTGTGATTCATCCTCTTGTTTTGTTGTGCTTTCCAGCCTGCCTTCGCAAAGAGATTTCTCTATCTTCGACCTATTGATTTTTGTTTCCTGCGTGGTGGTGCAGGCGTTCTTCGTTTTCGGCTCTTCATTTGTGTCTCACGACGTTAGGTGAGACACCTTCAGTTCGCTTGAAACTTTTTTTCCTTTCGTTGACCGACTTGCGTCACACAGAAGTTTGATTTGGTGTCTCATCGCTGTTCTTCTCGGTTTTTGTCTGTTGTCTTTGTCTCTGGTAGGTGCGCAGCGTTTACAGCCCTTCCGTTTACGCAGCTGACGTTGTGCGTACGCGGTATCCTGCAAGCAACACCTGTCCGTTGGTTGTTTGTTTATTATAATTGTTATTGTTGCTACTTGTCGTTTGTTTTCTTACGTGTGCTTCGTCGTCGTGTGTGTGTGTCTGTGCGTGTACGTTGATTATACTCTCCTTTCGTTATCGACTCTTCTCTCATCCGCTCTCTCACTCGCCTTTTATTCTCTCTCTTTTCTTCATTGCTTTTCATATATATATATATATATATTACTGTTGCGGTGGTGGTTGGTTGGTTCGCTTCCCGTATGGGGAGTTCACACCTCTCTTCCTCTACGCATATTTTCTGCTTTCACGAAGCCTGCGTGCGTTATTTCCATTTTTCTACTCCGCATTCGCTGGTTTTTTTGTTGTTGTTGTTTATTTCCCTCTTCTTCCTCTGGTTACATAACTTACTCCGCCGAAAATACTCCGAAGTTGTTGTTCACTCGAACAAAAAACTCATTTTTATTGCTTTCGTGTCTCCTCTTTTTCTTTCTTTTGTTGTTTTCCTTTGCGTGATAGACCAATCGCTGCGTATTTTGTGGTTGGCAACGGTCGCTTCTTTCTTGTTCTTTATCAGTATCTTCGCGGAATACATTCATTTTTCTTCTTCGTTTGAGGTCACATCTGCCCTCCACCATCCTTGGCCTTTTTTTCTTTAGTTTAAATTATTATTTCTTATGTTTGTATCTTCTCCGTTGCGCTTATTATTATTATTATTATTACTACTACTGAATTATTGAAGGCGAGTATTTGTCTTCGTAAGATCTACGCTCCTGTGGGTTTTTATTTTTCTTTCTTTTCTTTCTGAGCGTTGACCAACGGCTTCGCCAAAACGAGTTGTTTGTTTGAAATTATTTTTTTTTTCTTCTTCGTCTTCGTCTTCGTCCAGAAGGTGCGTCTTCACGTAGGTTTGCACGCTTGCCTTCTTTGTGTCTTCTTCTGTTTTTATTATTATTATTATTTCAGTTACTTTGAGTGTGTGTGTGTGCGTGATTTTACATTTTAGCATTGGAACGGATGGTAACTCCTTTTTTTGTCCTTCGTCGGTTTTACTATTAATTAGTAGTAGTAGTATTTTATCTCAGCAGTCCATTGTACGTGACACGTACTTCCTTAGCGTTGCCTCCATCGCATCCGCTATCATTACTACTCCATCATCCCCTTTTCTTTTTTTACCTACTACTAGCAGTATTATTGGTTGTGTGCACGTGTTTGGTTCTGGTCTGTGGTCGTCACGGGTTTGGACAGCGTCCTCAGCAAACGGATACATCTGAAGCTCGGACTTTCATCATTTCAAAGGCAAAAAAAAAGGAAACGAAGGACATCTATATACGTGGTGCGTTGTGCGTCTTACAACAACAACAAACAAACAAACAAAAAGAAAACCTGCTTCCGGCTTTTGCTCGTCAGCCATTTCACACAGACTACACTCTCTCCTTTTTGGGTTTGATTTTTTTTCTTTGGTTTTTTGACACGGAGCCGGCAAAGAAGCCCGTGTATCCAACGGGAGGAGGCGAAATACTAAAAACTATATATATATTTTTATTTATTTAACTAAAAAAAAACCTTCAAAGCCCGAAAATCTTCCACAAAGTGGAGGAGATACTCCTCATTTTATGCTTGTGTGTGTGTGTGTTATTTCTATTATTTCTCGTAGACTTCGCCGTTGGGTTCGCGTGTTCTGGCTGTTTCCTTCGACGTACCCTTCTTTGCGCAAGCGTTTGTGCTGGCAGGGCTCACGCAGCGTCTGCTATTCGTTTTTAACTCTCACACCCACGTGAGTGCACCTCTTTTTCTTTTCTTTTTCTTGTCTTCCCCTTCATCCTGGTTTGTTTTTTTCCGTTCGTACTGCTGCTCATCGTCATAGTTTAATTTTTTTTTCTTTGTTTTTCTCCCCTACGTGTGGAGTGGATCGTCCTTCATTGGACGTATTGGAGCCGCTCACGGGTACGTCGTTACTTCCCTTTCCCTTTGGGGGTTTTCATCTCTTTCTCTCTCTCTCGAACTGCCTTCTCGGTGTTGTTTAGTTTTGGGTAAATTGCGTTAAAGGGAAAACCTCGCGTATCTGTTATTCTCTCGCGTTTCTTATCTCTCCTGGTGTTTTTATTCTTCTTATTACTCCTTGTTTTTTCCTCTGTGCGATTATTTGTGTGAGCGTGTGGGGGTGGGGGTGTCTGGACGTGCAGCTAGCGTGGTGTTTATTACCTCTCTGAAGAAATCCTTCGCAGTGCACACGCGCACACCAAAACAACAGTTCAAAAATATCCTTACGTAGAGAAGAGAAAACGGAACGAAGTCCTTTGAAAGGAAAACGAAATCGTGTTTGTTGTTCTTTTCCCCTCTTGTCGCTGCACGCTGACTGCCGTGCGAAGTGTGTCTCACGTTCTTTCTCGTATACATACATATACACACAGACATACTGTCCCCGTATTCGTTGTCATCGTTTCCACCTGCTGTCTTCCGTCAAAAGAAATAACAAGAACCTCACGAAGTGTTCTCTCACCCGTTTTTTTTTCTTCTTCTTTTCTCCTTGGTGTCCGTTGTTGCTGGTGTTTGTTATTGTTGTTGTTATCGCCGTATCCCCTTAGCTGGAACTCTTCTTTTCGATTTTTGTGGGGGGTGGTGGATTCTGTCAGCATCCCTATCGCTCTTCCATCGAGGGAAGTCGTTCGGCTGCCGGGGGTTTTTCAGTGTCGCCTCGTTCCGTCATCTTCGCTATTGAGCGTACTACTGTTATTATTATTATTATTAGTTTCTTCTCTTCTTCTTCTTCCATTCTCGGTCGCTGAACCTTAAAAAAAAAAAAAACCCCATCTGCGCACGGCTGCATTCGGATACCGTTAACTTCTTCTCCTTTCTTTCTCCTTTCACTTGTTCGTTTGTGTGTTCTTATCGCTGTTTTTCCCTTCGTTTTCCCTTTGACACCGATTAAAGGTAGACGAACGCGGCGGTAGTGCTAATAATATAATAAACGAAACACGCACACACGGTATATTTACATTTTCTTTCCCGTTCTCTGATATTGTGTGTGTGTGTGTGTACTCGTGTCTCTCCTATTTGTTTGGCTATTCAGTAAGCCAGACAACGTTGGCAAGCACGCAAGGCATTACTTTTCCTCGCATCTTTCGTGAATAGTTTGAGAAGAGCGCAGGGCAAGCTCGAGTCTTCTCCTCCTTGGCTGCCTGTCGTCCCTTCCTCTTTCTTTCGGCGTGAGCTGTGTTCTTATAAAGCTGCATAAATTTTTTCTCACTGCTGGGTGTTTTTTGTTATTATTATTATTTCGTTTTGTTGGCATCTTTCTTCATTCCTCCTGCTCTGGAATTGTTCCTGCGGTTCGTGTTTTTTCTGTTTCTTATTTTTCAGGGTGCTGCTGTTGCTTTGGGTATTGAATTCAGTGCACATGCACGAGCCAAGCACGTCATCGTCGTCTACGGCGGCGTCGTGTTTCGACATCTACGCTGTTGAGAGCAGCGCGCCACCGTCGCTGCCACGCCAAGCAGCACCGTACGCCAACCGCGCCAAGCACCCACCAGCACAACAGCGTGGGCAGGTGGTGCCGGGGCAAGGAGAACGAGAATTCTTACTGGAGGAGCACCAAGGCGAAACAGCGGCGGCGGCGGCAGACGAGGCAACCGCGCCCGAGCTTCGATCCCCCTTTTCGTCCGTCTCCTCTACGCAATCGCAGAACCTGGTGGATCCGCATTTGCCAAACGGCCCTTCTCCGTCGCTGGGAAACACAAAAATGGTGCATCACGACAGCAGCCACAGCAGCCACGACGACGACGCGGAGGGCGTGACCGCAGATGCCGAGACGCAGAGCGCCAGCGTTCGCAACAGCCTCTCTGTCCTTCCGACGTCGTCGAACGTTTCTTCGTTGATCGCGGTGGCGGCATCGTTTTCTTCCAACTCCATACGCGCTGTCAACGTGCCACGCTGTGTCGCCTCCCCACCAACTCGGCCCACACTTTCCGTGACGTTGGTGTCGAAGCCTCGCACGGCGGCCACCGCGCGTGAGACAGGATACGCAGAAACCGTCTTGTCAGCGGATGTCCATGACCCGCCAGCCGCATCATTCACGGCATCAGCAACGGCTGCAACAGCAAGCGAACAGACGGGGGTTGCAACCTCACCTGCTCCCCCTCCCCAACCGCCATCATCGCAGCCGCCGCGCACGCTTCACAAGGGCCCCACCACGTATACCTCCGTCGGCACCTACAAATCACTCCCCGTGCTGCCGCCCCAGGTGTTTCGCAGCGCCAGCGGCACCGCTCCCGCCGCCGGCGGGGCGTTGTTTGTGTCCGTCAGCAACGGCCCATCGGCCAGCTCGGCCGTGTCTACGCCCCTGCTAGGTCCGCCGTCTCCGTCTGCTGTGGCGGCCACCACCGCCGCCGCGGGCTCGGTGGCAGCGCCGTTGGCGACCCTTCTCACCGCCCCCAGCCCGACAAACATGCAGGCGCGGCTCGCGTACTCGATGGGCGGTTCCCGCAAGCGCAACAGCGTGAATGTGCCGATGCACCCCAATTTGGGCTCCGAAGAAGAAGACGAGAACATGAACTCCGACGTGGTGGACGACGGATGCCTAAGCTCAGATCAGTGGCTGATGCTCTCGCAGAGCACGAGTAACGCGTGCAACAACACCATGAGAAGCAACACCGCGACAAGTCGCTCAAGCAGTCACGACCGCGGACCCGTGGAGGACGGTGCGGCAACGGCAGCGGCGTATCAGCCGCCTCCGACGTGGTCGCTGGTGAGACCGCACCATGTGGCAGAGCCGCACGTGGGGAAGAACGGAGGCAGCGCCTACAGCCCCGTCATCGGCCCGCAAGCCCCACAGACGGACCAGCTGAACAGCAACATGCACAGCGGTGGTGGCGCTGCCGCCGTCCATGCACCTCCGCCGATTGCGATGTACGTCCCAACGAGTATCATGGCGGCCACTACGACAGCAACAGAGAACGTCAGCACACCTACAAACGCAGGGCGCGGAGTCGTCCGCAGCCGCGATCACTCCCTGGCGCACTCCTTACGTTCGCCGCTGCGGTCCCCGCTCTCGGCGCCGGCGCACGGGTCCGCCGGGCGCGGCGGAGGCACGCTGCTGAGTCGGCGCAGCTCCTTCGGCTCGTTGCGCTTGGCCACGCACGATCCGTACAACGCCGCTATCATATCCCCGGCGGCGGTGGTCGTGCCGCGAGGGGCTAGCTCGTCAAGCGTGCTCTCGCTCTCCGCCTTTCCCACCTCTCCGACAGCCCCGCCGTCGACGGCGACGCATACGGAGCACACGAACACGCACACGGTGCCCACGGCAGGCGGAAACGCACCGATGAGCACGACAGCAGCGGACACCATGATGGTGGCGTCGTCGGACGGGATCTGCGTGCAGGACGCGCCGACGCCCTCGCAGTCAGGGCGAAGCCGCATGAACCGCAGCAGTAAGAACACCTATAACAACCCTTCCGAGGTGTTTCCGTACTATGAGGAGAACAATTACGTGGGAGGGGGTACGAGCACAACGACGACGCGGCCAATGATGGAGCTTCCGCCAGCGCCGTCTCCGTACCAGCAACAGCTATCGCGAGCTCTTTCGTCCCCTGCCACGCAGATCTGCAGTTCGCGAAGCCGCAGCGGGAAGGCAGATTTCGCCTTGTCTTTCTCGTACAGTTCACAGCCGTCGGCCACGCTGACGTCGCCCACGCAGGCCTTCAGCCAGCAGCAGCAATTGCAGCTACAAAGGCAGCAGCAACAGCCGGCGGCGTTCTTCCCAGTGGAGGCGACACATCCCCCACCACCGCGGCGCCGCAACGCACAGGAGGCGCTCGCCGGATTCTTCTCCGAGGCGCCCATTGAGTTGGGCGACCAGACGCACCTCGTGCTGGACCGCAACGGTGTACCGTATCAGGGCGAGACGACGAGCACGCCTGGAGGTGGCGGCGGCAACACCAACACGAGCCAAAACCGACGGGGTGGCCTGCCTCTCTTTCCTTCCCAGCCTCCATCTGCACCACCACCACCACCGCTGCCTCCGGCCGCCTACGCACCGATCCCTTCGCTGGACACCTTTTACTGCCGCACGGAGCCGCCGTACGGCGAGCACGTGCCGATGGACGGCTATGCCCCTTACCCCCCACCGCCACCCCCACCACCGTCGCATCCACAACAGGGGCAGCAGCGACAACCAATTGCAGGAACAAACCCTGCCACCTCGATGCTGCACCACCGGCCCTCCGCGCAAGCTGCGACGGCGGAGAGCACTGCGGGGTCCTCCAACTACAACAGAGAGGGAGACTACATCCAACAGCGCAGCGGCAGTGCTTACGCATTTCCCGGTGGGACTGCGTTTCAGCAGCAGTATGGCGGGCCCGTGAGCGCGATGCCGCCGGAGAACGGCACCTTAACACCACCACCACCCTCGCAACGTGGCAGCTACACCCGCGTCATCGGCGATCTCTTCGGCAGTTCACCGTACGCCACGGAGGGGGACAGTCGGAACGTCCAGACGGCGTACGGCAGCATAGCGCAGTTGCACCCTGTGGGCAACGGTGTCGACGCAAGGGCGACGCGCGGCGCCAGAAGCGGCGGCGGCGGCGAAGGCAGCCATCGAAGCCCACGCTATTACCCCGGCCACAACGACAACAACCACAGCTGTTATGCAAACAACGCCTCCGCCAGCGCGCGTCCACTCGGGGACGCCTACGACTACGGATTGACTCCGGCGTTGCCGGGTGCGGACGGGGAGGCAGATGTGCTGCAGCAAACCAATGCTGCGTGCTTCACCGCTCCTCTTCCGCGAAGCGCGGGGGCGGAAAAAGCCCAGGTGAGCACCGGAGACAGCCACCCTCGCAACCCGCGCCACAGCCGCCACAACGCTCATGACAGTAACGTTGGCCAACCTGCTGGCGTTTTCCACCCTCCACCGCAGCGGTCACAGCAACCGGCAAGGGGAGTCAAGGCGCCCGCACCGGACACGTACGGCACCCCGCCCTTTTTCTTCCCCCCGGTACAACGACCACCGCTGTAGCCGCTAGGTGCTGCCTGCACCATCAGCGCCGCGAGCGTGAATCGGAGTCAGCTCAGCGGACGGGGACCATAAAGACGCGGCCAAATCGTGTGAGAGACTTCAACTTTGATTTTTGTTTGATTGTTTTTTTTTCTCTCTCTCTCTGTGTGTGTGTGTGTGTGTGTAGGAGCGTACATCACGACAACGGATACAATGAAGGGGGTCTCCTGCTTCTGCGCGGTGAAGAGCGTTCGTCTGTGCACACACACACGGCGAAGGGAGAGCGCGGCTTTGTCATGTTTTTCCCCTTTTTTTTACTTTTCCTTTTCTCCATTCGAATGACCACGGCGGCGCTTTCGGCCGTGGCCGTATTTTTCTTTTTCCTGTTTTGCTCTTCAGTGCTACGAAGGTCGTCTTCTCCGGTGGGAATCACAAATCAGTTTTCGCTGTGGTGGTTGTGCTCGGTTATTCCTTCTTCTTTTTTTTGTTTTGTTTTCTACGCGCAATACGTTGTTGACCTCGCCTTCCCCTCCGCTTCTCTTTCCTCTCGTACCTGCTTCGGCGTGAGGCAGAACGAAGAGGGGAGGAGGCAACTGAGGCGGAAAAACGAGGTTGTTTTGAAGGGGGCGGGGGGACGGGGGGATGCACCTTTCCTACGACGACGCGCGCACACACACACACCTCGCGCGCCGGCCGTGATTTGTGATTTGTGGCTTTTTTTCTTTTTCTTTTGTTCTCGCTGAGATGGTGATGTTACTCCCTTTCCGCTGCCTCTGGGGTTTTTTTTTTGAGGAAAGGGGGGGGGGGGCGGTGCGTGTGTCTGTGTGTGCGTGTTTTCCCATCCTGTCACGGGCGTCACCCGCACCACGAAAAGAAAAGGAAGGGAGAGACCTTTTCCAAGCAAGGCGGTGTGTACTGTTTGATCAACCCAAATAAAGAACCGCAAAAGGAGAAGAGAAGAAAACGACGTCGTCATCGCGAGAATGCCACTCCGCGTTTTCTGTCCTTCGGGCTTCGAGAAAAGGAGTGATACTGCACAGGGCCCTTTCTCTCTCCTACTAGCATTTTCCGTTGCTGTTGTTGTTGTTTGCAGGACGAAGTACTTCTGAAACTCGCTGCAGCCCACTCCCGCAAGGAGACAATGGACCAGCCGTTTATCCTTCTCTGTTTGATTTGTGTGTGTGTGTGTCTGTGTCTGTGTGCCTCCGCCACCACCGCGCTCTCTCTCGCTCTCTTCTTCTTCTTTTTGTTTTCTCTTTTCCGGCTTGCAAAGGAACTAACAGACAAACACGCACATAATATCTCCCTCCCTCTCACGTATACACCAAGCCCCACCCTGCTTCTTTTAGCCAATTTGTAGCTGCACAGATCTGTCATTCGTCGCAGAAGCAGTCATGTGGACACGACGAAAGCTCTTTCCCACGCTGGACGTGCCCGCGACGCCGCAGCCGGCAGCGGTGGTGACGCCGTTCTTCTTGGAGCAGCAAAAGAGGGGCGCCGGTGATTACACGGTGGGCGAGAACGCCTATCACTTTCTCGCCAGTCTCGGCTACACCCTTGTGCCTTCACTAACCGCGCAGGAGGCCGCGCAGCTTCTCGCGTGGGCGCTGCCACCGAGCTGGGTCGATCGCACGGGCTCCACCACATCTTCCACGGCGTACAAGGATGCCGTGTCCTCTCTGCTCAAAAACGAAGACGTGCTACGCGCCTGCTCACAGGTGGAGTACTTCCTTTACGGTACGGACAACGGCCAGGTGTTCCTCATGCCCTTGCTACCCCCTCATTTGCTGCAAGTATTGATGGCCGAGGCTGGGGACGATGTGCTGCCGGGTCTCGTACAAAGATGCAGGCGGGAGGCACAGCTCTTGCAGGCGGCGAGCAGCAGCGCCGGCGCCGCTCCACCTGCAGTGCACCGCGTCTCTGCGAATTGTGTGGGTCGCCGCCTGCTGCACCGCCACGCTCGCGAGGAGCCCGTGACAGGCCTCGACCACCTTGGCGTGCTGGCCGCGTCGGCCACGGCGTCCGTCGATCACGCAGTCGCGCTCAGCATTTTCCACCCAACCCCGGCGGGTGTGGTGAGCATTGCACACCCCTGTCCTGTGCGTTCGCTGAAGTTGTGGGAGGGGGCGGTGTTCACCGCGGAGGAGGCGGAGGGCAACAGTGACGAGGACAAGGACAGCGCAGATGCCGGCCGGCGGCGACGGTGGTTGGCGCAGGTGCGGGCGGCGGAGCCCGTCGCCGTGTACGTCTTCACCGGCGACAGCGCGGGCATCGTGCGGCTGTGGCGCGTGGACGTGGTGCGACGCACCTACGCCTTGCAGCACGTTCTTGTGTGCAGCGGGAATATGACCGGCATGCTGTCTCCGCTCACGCCGTTTGCGCGGGAGGACACGACGGCGACGGTGCCGTCGCGGGCGTCGGACTGCGCCCTGCACTGTCTCGAGATCGATGCGGCGAGCCATCGGCTCTTTGGTGGGACAGAAGGCGGCGCCTATGTGTGGGCGCTTGATGCGCTGCCGTGGCGTGGTCCGGGCGCGGTCCCGACGGCCTCTCACGCCACCTCCTCTTCCGACAGCACCAACGACGCCAATCCTACAGCAAATGAAACGAGCGACGCGGCGGCCCCGACGCCGGCCAGTCTCGCGGTGCGCCACCCGTTGTGCTGGGATGAAGATCACCGTAGCCCGCTGCCCTGCGCGCTGCGCTGCTGGGAGGCGGCGGCCGCACCGTCGGCGCCTTCCTCTCCTCCCGGCGCGAGCACCGCGAAGGCGGTTGAGTACCGCGCGGCGCGGCTGGTGACCCACCACGTGTGGATCTTAGACGCGGCGGCGGTGCAGGCGGAGATGGCCCGGGCGCGGGCGCAGCAGCGGCAGGGCGGCGGGGGCGGCGCGGGGGTGCGCGGGTGGAAGGCGAAGTACGAGCGCGTCCTCACAAACGGTGCCGCCGTCGGCGTGGTGAGCAACGACGTGCGGCTGACGGCGGTCGACGCAGAAAGCAACAACAGCGCCGGCGTGGCTGCGCGGCTGACGAACTCCATCGTCACGGTCAGCTTCGACGGCGGGGAGGTCAAGAACGACTTCCGCGTGCCGTTGTCGTGTGTCATGCCGGTCGTCTACCCGCTGACGTTCTTGCGCACGCCTGGCACGGCGTGTTTTGCCCTCCGCGTGCTCGCGCCGCGCCGCCGCGTGTTGACGAGTTGCGCCGATGGGAGGGTGTGTGTGTGGGTGAGCAAGCCCGGCGAGGACGCGCACGCTGCAGAGACCTACGCGCCGCAGCTGCTCACGGAGCACCGCCAGGCGCACCGCGGCTTGGGCCGGCATCTGTGTGTGCTGCGGTCGCCCGACATCTTCGTATCCGCTTCCTTCGACGATGGGTTGGTGAAGGAGTGGCACGTGTACGACGCGCCGGAAGTGCTGCTGCGCTGCGCACGCCGCTTTACGCTTACGCCGTACGTCGCAAATGGCGCCATGACTGCCGGCGGGAGTGGCACTGGTAGTGCTGGGAGCGCGGAGGAGCTGACGGACATATTCAAACGCATTGCGCAGGCGGGTGGCGAGGAAGAGAGGAAAGGGAAGACGAAAAAGGCGGAGACGGCGGGCCACGCAGGCGACAACGGGGAGGAAGAGGAAGAGGAGGACGCGGTGGCGGCGGTGGAAGACGGTGACGTGGTGGCGGGCATTTCCTGCGCCGCCGCTTACCCCGCCTTTGGCGCGCTCTTCCTTGTCGGTGCGTTTGAATCTGCGATTCAAACTTACAGCTTGACCGAGGTGGTGGGCTGCGAGCCGCCGCGCAACTTCATCTACAACGGCCACAAGACGGTGCACCTGCCCGCCTCGATGGCGGAAGATGTCTACCATGCGCTGTAGTTGTTCCTTCGCGCAAAGGTGCGGTGGAAGTGCACCCGTCGTTGTGGATCTGTCCATATCGTTGCCGGCTATCTCTTCTCTCACAGTCGGAGCAAACAGCACTAAAGGAAAGATGCAAAACCGGTGGATACAACGCGAATTCTTGCTGTGTATTTTCCTCTGCCTTCTTGTCATCTTCGAGATGTCAGGGCCCACACACACACGCACACTTACATCCGTAAGGCATGCAGGAGAAACAGAAGTGGCTACGTGAGGTGGCCCGTTCTCACGTTTTCGGATCGCTCAGCGATTCGGTCTTTCACCTTTAACTCCCACCTTCCTCCTCTTTTTTCCACCCTGTACATCTCGTGTATGAGGCGTTGGACTTCAACGCACTCGGCATACGGAGGCTTCAAGCAGCGTGGCACACGCACGCACACCCACTCTTCGTCAAGAGAAAAAAAGCATATACCTACCCCCCGTAGCTTCTCACGCAGGCGCTGCCGCTTCTTTCTCACTACCGCTTTTCAGCAACTGCTCTCAAGCCTTCGCCTTCGAACAAGCACCTGTCACTCAAGGAGACAGCGACACACATCGTTACTGCAGACGGCAGCTCCAAAAAAAAAAGCGGTCAGCACGAAAGGCCGCATGCACAACGCCGACGTGCAGAAGCCCGCCTTCGAGACGCTGAAGCGCGCCGCTATCGGCACGTATTGGTCGAACCGCGACAAGGATGGAAAACACTTCAAGAACTACGGCGCCGGCGCATCATCCTCCCCTGGCATCCTCAAAGCACTCAAGTGGATGCTGGGGAAAATGTGCCGCGGCAATGCCCTACCAAGAGGCGGCTACGCGGAGTTTGGCAAGGTGTGGTACGCGCCGTGCGACATGGGCGAGTCGGTGGCCGAGTGGCGGCGCACCCCCGCCGACCATCGCGGCGACCGTGTCTACTTCATTGGACACGCCACGCAGCTCCTCTGCCTTGGCAACGGCGTCAACGTTCTTTTTGACCCGATCTTTTCGCCGCGTGCCTCGCCGGTGTCCTTCGCCGGCCCCGCTCGTCGTTACCCGCCTGCCACGACCGTGGACCAGCTGCCGCCGATCCACATTGTCACCGTCTCGCACAACCACTACGACCACATGGACCAGGCGAGTCTCACAGCGCTGTACGGACGCTTCCCTGAGGTGCGGTTTGTCCTTCCGCTGAAGATGGAACCCTTCCTTCAGCAGTGGGGCATCCCCGCGGCATCCATCACGACGCTGGACTGGTACGAAGCGTGCGAGGTGCACGGGCTACGCATCGGCTGCACGCCGGCACAGCACTGGGGCAGGCGGAGCATGTCGGACAGCAACGAGGTGCTGTGGTGTGGGTGGTGTGTCGGCTGGCGGCCCAACGAGCCCACCACCTTGAATACGGCGGCGGTGGGAGAGAGGGACAAGCAGCCGCCAGCCTCCTACAGCGGCTCCGACGCAGTGCCAGATACAGATGCAGCGGCAGCAGAGCAGCAGCAGTCGTGGAGTCAGTACAAGAAGTACTTCTTCACCGGGGACACGGCCTACAACGCAGATGTGTCCACGAACATCTACGCCCACTTTGGTCCGATGGACATGGCGAGTCTGCCCATCGGCGCGTACTCGCCTCGGTGGTTTATGTCGCACGCCCACATCGATCCCGAGCACGCGGTGCAGATCTTCCAGGATCAGCACATCCAGCGCGCCATGGCGGTGCACTGGGCCACCTTTGAGCTGGCGGATGAGCCGCTGGACGAGCCACCGGAAGTGCTGGCGGAGGCGCTGAAAGCAGCGGGCATCGACCAGAGCCGCTTCCAGGCGATCCCAATGGGAAAGTTCATTGACTTCTAACAACAGAAGGTGCTTGCTTCTTGCTCCCTCCACATTTTTTATTATTGCTACATTTTTTGATAGTTTACGAAAAGAATGGAATGATGAAAAGAGTAAGAATGATACGAGGAGGATGAGGAGCAATGGCTCCGACATTTGCTGATGACATGTTTTCTACCTCTACTACTCTCCCTCGCTCTTCTCCTTCGCCTTATCTTTGGGACTTGCAGAATCAAAGTTCTCACACAACTTTTGAGTTTTTTCTTTTCCACCTACCCACCCCCGTGGTTGCCCACCACGACAGGGATCCTTGGGTTTAACCAATTCAACTACCCTTGTTTGCCGCTTCGTTAGTAGTGCTACCTATTAGAAAAAATGGAAAAAGAGGAAATCGCCAAGTCCAGTGCACCATCGCCCCCTGACGTTGTAGGGAGTAAGTTTGGCAGCGGGACGCTGCGCGGGGTGAATAGATAATATGTTGGAGGTCCATCGCGAGCTTGGAGGGTGGAATCAGGTCTCAGCTAATGCGTTTCTCTCGGGCTCTTTGCACCCCTCGGTTCTTCCTTTCCCACCGCCAGCCCGCCCACCCTTTCCCGGCCCAGGGGCCCGCCCGCTTCGGCCGGCCCCCCCCCTCCCCAACGCGCAGCGCCAGGC